AAAATTGTCTACTTATGTTATTAAAGAGTTTGAAAATGATGAACTTGACGGTAAACTGAATATTCGTGATCACGATAGTGCACATTTGTCTTTGGTTGATCATGATGGGATGATGGGTTGAACAAAGGTTCTGTACAACTTGAACGCGAAGTAGAATTAAAGGCAGATGCAGTTGCAGAAGTTAGGGATATTTGTAAGACCGTCAGTGTAATTGATCAGCGTGCACCCCACCTATCAACAGATGTTGATGCTTAACTGGGGCTAATAATAAAAGATAGCAGTGGTGGTAATCTTGCAGTTAGACAAACTTCTAAAGGCCAAACAACAACAGCTTCTGATGCACCGCTAATTTCATCAACTTGTGTCACTCAGTTGTCGTTGGTGTTGCCATCCACAATGAAAGGGACGTCCATGAACTCAAGTGTCTTTTCCTATGACTATGCTTGTATCGGTGCATTCGAAAAGACGAAAGATATTGGTCAGTTTAGTGAGGATAATCCAACTGTGTACGAGAGGGTAATTGTTAAACTGACTCGCACGAATAAAGGCATTTGAAGTTTCAAATTACTACTACCATTATCTTTGGTGTAAATTACTCTGTGCCTACGCTTGGTTGGTCAGATACGTCGTGTGTTTATTAGTTATTTATACTCTACGATGCAATGACATGAGCGTGTTTCCGTTCAGGTTTGAGGATATAGATGATAGCAGGGAGTTAGCAAATTAACTCTGGGACGATTTTCCAACCTAGGGCGATTGTGTTGCGAGGTGTGAAGAGGATGCCTTCGACTGGGAGGCGTACGTCGGCATCGACGAGTGTTTGTGCTGTGGATATGCCTGTGGTGTGTTGGCTTTTCTGTTTGTTTTCCATTTCAGCTCTGTCCATGTGACCCAGGTTCTCGCAATGTCATCCAAGTCAATGTGTATTGGACGTGATGAAAAAAAGGGATGGATCCCTTTTTTGGCGGGGAGTGTCAATGTAGTTTAAGATGGAACGATCAATTCATGGTTGTTCGCTAAAACCCAGCTTCCCTATATTTTCGCGGAGGCATCAATACACCAGTCATCGTATTATCGGTCGCTGTTCAAACGAACGTAAAAAACCATCAGAAACCTCAGTTTATTATGCTGTTTATATGTTGATGTTAGAATAAAGAATTCTTGAGTCGCCAACGGGTGTTCTGGTTTTCGCGTCCGTTAGTACTGAGCGTTTCTGAAAGGCTTCTAGGGACAACGAGTGGCCCAGCGTAGTGAGAGCTGGGCGTTAACGGTTTTTGAGACGTGATTGACAGAAGGTGTTAAATCTTCATGTTTTATCCCGATATCTGTGACTTTGTTCAGTTTTGAGAGCTTTTCGTGTATATAAAGGCACATTCTCGGAATCCAGCGCCTTTTCGTGCGTTTGACAGATGTTTGCCTTTTTTGACAGATGTAAGTTATTAAGGACCATATGTGACGCATGACCCTCTCTGCAGCATCAACAACGGAATGGAAAGCATTCTAAGCTCTTACGTCATTTAGAAACTTGGCAGATATGGCCTTATGTATTCTTCGCATACATGGTTTCCCAAATTTTAAATCTTGTCACACTCGAAATTTGACCATTTTGACTACAGTAAGGTGAGAGGATTCTTCTTGAGTGTTAGAAAAATGTCTCTACAAAATATCACTTGACAAACTTCAAATAAACCTCTGCTACATGGAATAGCAGAAAGGCTTCTTAACGGGCTAAGTTCGGTTACCATAGTATTTTTTGTCAAAACAGGCCATCCATGATATGCATCTATGTGATTGTTGGCAACGTGGTACAGATTTGTTAGCTTCCTTAGTCTCATTCTAACTACGTTTTTTAAAAGTGACACGGTTGCCACGATCATGTTTGATAAGCTTCAACTTCCAAAAACGGCTCGATATTTATTTCGTTCATCCGAAAATTTCAAATTTCAATTTTTTCGCACTGTAAGTCTCGTCATTCGAGTAGATGTGCCACTTCCTAACGTTTAATTCACATCACATTGATTTCCATCGTTATAGCTAACGTGGTACATTCTACTAGGAAACAGCCTTTATAGGAATCATTTCACCCACACTAGGCAGTAAATTCAGTTCTAGTTACTCTATCTTTTACCACGAATTACATACCTTACAAGTTTTCATTAATCTCATTTACGCACACTTCGAGCGCGTACCAAGTTAAATAATAATGTTTCACTGTGTGACACATCTTACAAACAAACTAATATGAGAGTCTCGCAGTGTTATACAATAATATTTGTATTAGTGAAGTGTAATGCTGGGAGACTTAGTCAAAATAAATTACACACATTATAATTATATTCTACCACAGAACACAAATTCTATCCTTCTTCCTAAGGTGTTTCTTTTTTGACGGTGTAAAGATATTTATTTCTTTGAGGAAACAACGGAAATATCAGTAACCCATGTACTTACCATTTACTAGTATAATCCATGATACATTATCAGATGTCGTTCCGTTTCCTATCGGGACACGGGAACTGACTGTCTGTCTGAAAAGTTTCAAACCAGCAGTCCAGTTATTAATCGGCCATCTCTCTGTTGAGCTTGGCAACAGAACGTTGAACAAAAGGGTAATCCTTTTAGGCTGTCCTGTCTTTTGTGGCTCAGATATGAGAGGCCATTCGGTTGATTTCTTTGAGTGAAGTAACAAAGTTGTGTACTTAGAGTAATAATCTCGATTTTGCCACACTTTTTGAAGCAGTTTATATGAAAATTTAAATTATTATTATTCTAACGGTAAGTCACGTCTGTGAAGTAGACTGTTATACCAGGTGTCACATTATTGAAGTGTGTTCGTTGACTTATGCGTAAAATCACCAACAGAAATCTGTATGTCGCATGTTTAACGGGTGATAAACTTGAAACTTTGTGTGCATGATTGATGGATCTAAATGTCATAACCACTGAGTTTGTTGAAATTTGAAAATAGTGATAAAGTTATCGGGAATGTGATTTAATTACTAAAACAAATGGATCGACGACAAACAAAGTATGAGGTTGGCTTCATTTTTTCCGTGAAATGAAAATGCCAATTTTCAAATGACAGGAAACTATCTATCAGAATCATAGAATCCGCAAATGGCGACCGGATGTAGTCCCAAGTAGTAGGATACCCTCAAATATGGATATACGGACCTTGCGACAAACGTTATAGCTTAAGAATGAAATATTGATAAAGAATACACGTGAAATAGAACTCATGTAACGCACTATTCCCAACACTCAGTATACTCACAAATGTCAGTATTTCCTAATCACAAGATGGTATGCAATTTAGAAGCCGCATAAACACATACTACTTATCTATGACAATAACACTGCAGGACAGCAACGGCGGTTAAAGAACATCTCCATTTTCTAAGATGGATGAAATCTTGGAAACAATCGATTTTAAGTTACAAAGTTTTGTATCGATAACTCTTTTCGAACGCAGAATAAGAAATATGGCCCAGGAAAAGCCGTCACACTGATTCCCAATGGTGTTCTTACAACAGTCTGTGAGAGGATACTGGTAGTTAAACTCAATTATCTCACTGAAATGATCCAGCGGGAGGTGTTCAACCTAATGTCTGACATTTTATGACACCAACATATTATTTTCATCCGTCTTCGCCCGAACTTTTAAGTGATGAATTTATGTCAAAATTGACAGTATCATTCTCGTTAAATGCTTTTTACATTTTCAACGTTGGGGTGAGCCTTACCTAGACTCTGCTAATTATGGAACCTAGTGGAACAGATCTTTGAAGGGTTCTATTAAACTCTTAAGACGAAGAAAGCTTAGCACTAACTGGTAAATGTACGACTTAAAGTGGCCATAAAGAGCGCCATCATTATGCTGAGGAAAGGTCTTTACAAATAAATGGGTAAAGTAGCACGTCTTGTAAACCGTTAATGCCCAGCTCTTGCTACGCTCGGGCTCACGCTGTCGCTTGAAGTTTCTCAGAAACGCTTAGTAATAACGGACGAAAAAACCAAAACACCAATTGTTGACTCGAGGATTCTTTATTGTTACACCAACATATAAATCCCGTATGACTAAGGTCTGTGAACAAATATTACAATAATAAATCACAATATTACTTCTGACGGTGTTTTACTCTTCTTTCTGAACAGCGACCGATGAGACGATGAATGTCGTATTGATGCCTCCGCGAAAATTGAGGAAGTTGGTTTTGAGCAAACAACCATGAATTGATCGTTCAGTCTTTAACTACATTGACATAGCACATAAATTCTCTACATTTGTTGTGAGTAGATGCAAGTCGTTTCTGCGAATATGACTCGTAAAAATATTGCTTGAGGAACCTCTAGGATATTTTAACATAGTGCTTGGCCTACGAATTTACTCCCTTATTCTGAAAGGATTAGTAGCCATCCCGATGTCGCAAATATTCTGAAAGATGAAACCTTTGAAATGTTTAAAGTAGGATATGAAGCAAAACCATATGACCCACTTTTTCCAATCTTGATTGATAAAGATGGATTATAGATTTATTTTTAGTATCCGAAAGATATTTTGAAACCTTACACAGCAGTGTAAGCGATGGGATACCACTACAGTGGTAATCAGGAAGAGACGACTACCACATAAGATGAAATCTACAAACCGTTATTCATGTATTACCTCTTAGGAGATTACAAGCACTAAATTCTGAAAGGTAATAAAATCAAGGACTAGTTAATAGTTGACGATATACATTTGTTTCACCTTTAACTTCCTCATATCAGTGGGTAGGTTTCCTCCATACTGTGCCACCAGAGTTTATTAAAGCCATTTCATACTATATTGTCTAAGCCTCAACCTACGTAAGTTGAATAATTCCTCTCCATGAAAAAAATTCGATCTATACTAGATGGTAGAAAGAATATATGATGTCACTTTAAGGTCTTGAAAAAAATTGTCTTGTGGATAAAAACATTTGATCATGAGTATAGTTCAATTACTTTCGCATCAAATGAAGTCATATTGTAAACAGCGGCAATATCACTTTTGGTGCTACATATTTTTGGGGATGGGAGCTAATGTTGTTGACGAGAAACAACCGTTTTTGGATAAAGAGGATTCTGCACATAAGAGCACAATAAAATCAGAGCCATGGTATAAAAAGGAGGTATGGAGCAGTGATGAGAAAACGAAGTATCTTATGGGAAGAACTTTGTGCGGTTGGAGTACGTTTCTTTCCTACATACCTTAATATGCCTTTCCAGTTAAATTTTGGCTGCACTACTTCATTCTCTATTTGTGCTTGTTTATCATTATGACTGGTTTGTTGATAATAATAACTCAACTTATAATAAGTAATGATCAACCTTACATAACCGGTTTGGACAGCCCACTTGCTCTCTCACCAGGTTAGTTGCGGTAATCTTTGTTTAGAACTATTTTCTTCGTCACATTGTTGTTCTGTTAATTCAAAGTTTATGCTTGTGGTCATATAGTCAACATTTTGGATGAGAAATTAGTGAGATACGACTATGTTGACTCATTATACGCCCTACTATCACTTTTAATGTTGTTGATTTAAAAGGTGGTTTAGATCAGTGCAGTCATTCAAGAAGACTTTGTTTGGTTGAAACTATGGGGTTGAATATCTTCAAATAATGCCACACATATATGAAGTTATGAAAAATTTGATGAATAAATTATTTGAAAGTTATGAGATGTATTGCAGTAGTTTCAGTTTTATTTTTGTTGGTCAGTACGTATATATGTATATATACATATTTACTAAAAAAGCTGTTGTCTTATTCACAATAAACTACAAACTCCTTAATGATTATGTAGTGACAAAAGGCTGTGTACTTTGGGATACATAAAGAAAGATATTATTATATGGGTTTCAGGTTTCCCACTGAACCTAGGGGCAATTTTTGTCTTTTTTGTCAACATTTTTTGATTTAATTTGGTTTTACTTTAGAAAATTCAAAAAATGGATTGTTTTTTATGTCCATGGTACATGAATAGATACCGACTTCACATAATAAACTTAGGTCTGTTTCTGTTTCTATCTGTCCTGTTCAGCAGTCAACAAATTCAGAATATTTTCAGAGAAGCATACCTAAGTGAATGATCGGTAGATAGGAAGGCCTTTGTAATGAAGTAGGTTCTGACTGGTTTCACAATTTTTGCTTTATTTCAAATAGTTACAAGTATATTCAAAGCGAATGGACAATTCGTTCATTGACAAGATATAGCAAATATTTTTAGGCACTTGAAACTGAAATCCGTATATCTTTGAAGTGCAAAATTATTTTTAAGAACCTACAATATAGGTGTGCTTTCAGTTATGAAAGCGGATTTGATGGTATTTGTGCAGTTACCTACAAGCCCTTAAAGTAAGATGCTTGCATTAAGTAATCTTTCCTTAATCGTCTTAACAAACAGAAGAAGCAGGACTAACCAGATTTGAGTTAGCGAGTTTATATCAGCAGATAGGGTTAGCATTACTAGTTACTAAAATAACTTATGGAGAGATAGTAAACACTACTAGTTTAATTTGCACCTCTAAACACAAAGAAGTACTATTGCAGGGACTAAAAGCAACTACTCACCACCAACCAGCCTCGGTTCTTTTTGAATGTATGCTGATCACAGTGAATGGTATTAACTGGAATGTTTTAATGGATATTCAACCCAAAAAATCATTGTAAGCACACACATCTTTATCAGCTTAGATTTCCTGCAGTCCCTTCTGGCATCGTTTTTGCAGCATCACAAGATATTATACTACATCCTAACTAGCAACACATCTTTTCTTATTCCTTTCTTCCCAGTGAAACATAGGGCTTCAAGCTAGTGGCATGAAGTTTCTGTAGCACTGGTGATTATTCTTATAGGATGGGGTTGCTAGCCTCATGCCCAGCCTTCCCTCTTTACCAGTCTTACTAATGGCTTAGCGAGGTAAAGGAATGCGTCAACCGGGGGTCCAACCTCGAACCACCTGCGTGGTTGGCGAGCATTCAACTAGCAACAAATAATTCTTAGCGTATGCAAGTCAGCCAAAGAATTATGTAATTTGACGTGATGGAGCCAAAGCTGTGGCAGCAACAGAAATGTTAGGTGACATCTAAAAGGTTGGATTCAAAACGAGTTTCTGAAAGTGACACATTCAATCAGATTATGATGCCAAATTTTGGCGAAGGCTTTCTCTTGTTTGTGTGGTGCTTAAGCAGTTTTAAGTCCTCATTGCGCACGTGAATTCGATCACAACCTCCTTTTGTGATATATTTTTGTTTCATGGGTAAACAATTATAAAAAATATGATAAAACCTCATTTTGAAAAACCAGGTTCTGGTTATGTTCATACTGTTTAGACTAAATGGTAACTTTTCTCATGAAGCACTGATTTGTAATTTTTGAACTTTCAATTTGAGTTCAGAATAGAATTTTTGGAATTCGTTTTATGCTTCTCAGCTATACTTTTGAAGCGAAATCATCTAAGACTGTTCACTGAACAGTTCTGTCTAGGGACAATGTAAGTGTTTTGTATGTCAAGTCACTGAATGAGATTTCTAATTTGAAGCTAATATATGTGATGTGTGTCACGTATACTTGATCACCGTCTGCTCTTATCCGCAATAAAATGTCATTATTAAGTGACTATCTACTTTCTGCTACCAGGTGCTGCAAACATTTTTAAACCCTATTCAGTAACTAGATGATGATGCTGCATGCCGAGTAATTCACAAAGGGAAATCTAATCAACCTGTTTAAAGTGACAACAAGAGTAATATTGTTACCGGCGATATTGATTGTGGTGGACTGAATTGTGTAGTAGGTCGTAGTGAATGAGAATACATGCATACAGTGAACTCAAAAAGACACCATAGAGAATATGAATTCAAAGAGTGATTTGTGTATCATGTAGCACGAATTCTTGGATAAACAGGGGCAAACCGAAATGTTGACAAGAGAAGCAGTAAACACTTAAATTCAGGTGAACATCAAACACTAATCACTATCAATAAGAGAAATCTAAGGAACGTTGTCTCTTTCACTTACTGGGTACATTCGTTTCAGATACTGGCGTCATGGCTGTGAATATCCAATCAAGACAGCCAGTCAAGGTCGAATTGGGAAAACAATACTGCGAAGTTGGTTTGGAGATCCGTTACACTTAGAACAAGGAATCAAACCTGAATTTTCGACACTAATTTCGAAGCGATGTTTCTGTTTGGTTTATGGGCTAAATGCATGCGTCGTTTTCAACAGGCTACTGCAGCCTTTGACCAACAAATACCCATTTTACTAACTCGGTACTGAAAATCAGATGGTCAGAAAAGATAAGCAAGAAGGAACTCCAGCAGATGACGAACCAGCGAGCAGTCTATTACCCAATCAATGAATGTACAGAAGGAGGTGGAGATGAACTGAATATATGCTGAGATATTCGAGTGATATTAAATGCCAGACAGATCGCAGATCGGAAGCCGGACAGGAAGCAGTGATTTAATGTGTCCAAGGGCGATATGGAGGTGATCATGTTGAGGGCAAGTGAAAGCATCCGAATAGTTGTGGAACCAGTCAGAAGTGATGGGAGTGGACGAAACAGAATAGTGATGTGCCACTGGAGCCGTTTATTTTATTCAGAATTCCATGAGCGAATAGTAGTTATAAATGGAGACATTTATTTCCCGATACTAATTTAAAAAGCGCAACAAAAGTTAACAAGGCCAGCTTTAATGTATCCATCGAATTTCGGTAGAACTCTTCAGTTGGATACTCAGCATACTATTGATTATTAATGCCGTTACTATCATTATTATCATTATCAATATTATTTAGTTCGCAATCCTTGATGTATTCAAGTTCTTTCACTCACTGAATACTGATGGTTTACTTAAGTAATTTAATTGAACCGCAGTGCAGTTTATCTTAATTTTATATCTGTACGTAGAGTATTCATCTGAAGAGTCCTACCAAAATTTAATGAATCCATTAAATCTTGCTTTATTAGCTTTCGCTGCTTATTTTAAGTAATAATAATTATTTTATACTAGGAATGTAAAGAAGCCTCCTGCCTTCTTCATATTTACTGCCATTGGTTTACATTGTTGGGCGAATGGAATCAACCTTTGCGTTTACTATCTTCAAATTTGATTTACCCGTGCTATCGAGGGACTCATAATTTGATATCAGTTCTCTTTACGGTTATACAATAATTATTAGTACACCAGTACATATTTACTGAATAACATGAGTCGCTTTATCTTGAATTTTCACAGACATTTTTGGAGAAAAATACATCAAACAAAGGAACAGAGGCATGATATTATTTACTACCTACTTTCTAATCAAAGTTTGAAATAAACTGTACGACTGTCCAGACCACAGGGTTACTTTGGTCATCAGTAGTATCCAGAAAATGCCTTTATTAGTTGAACTTGAATTTTAAATATATAAAACACAAGTAGTTCAGCGAAGAGTCTCTTTTCGGCGAATTCATTTTCGTAGCTGTACAATCGCAAATACATATGGTTATTTTGTATATATATATTATTGCTCCCTTGGGTTACTAGTGGAACATAGGGCTTCAACTGCACGTCTCCACTTGCCACTTCTGTCTTCCTTCTGCTGTACTTTTCACCTGCATCCATCCATGTTAGTTAGTGCATACTCTTTCACAACTCCTCTTCTCACGATCTCCTCCATGTCACCCTTGCACTGACGTCCCACACGCCGCTTCCCTTTCGGGTTCCATTCGAGCAATGGCCTGACGCGCGCGCGATGTCACCCAGCGGTCTCCTCAGCGAGCGAGTGTCCGATCCATCTGCACTTTCTCCTGCATATTTGTTGGTTGGCGATTGGTTCTTGCTTTGTTTGTTCCTTCCCATAGTTCCTTGTTGGCGATTCTTTCCGGCCATCTGATCTTCAGTATAGAGCGTAGACAGTTGTTAATAAAGGTCTTCAACAGGCTGTTGGAAATATTCTTTTTGACCCGCCCGCCAAGTTTCTGATCTGTTCCGTATAGAAGAACCGACTGACTTTACGTTTGTATTGAAAATCCGACCGAGTTTTGTTGTTGGTGCTGGCTGAGTGACGAAGATTTCCAGATTGATTTCAGGTTGATGAATGTGTTTTTCGCCTTCCCGATTTTTACTCGATTTGACATCCTCGTCCGTTCTGACTTTCTATAGTTGAGACAATGCTCCCTTGATAAGTGAATGAAGTAAGCTCTTTCAAATCCCTTACGTTGATGGTGATTGACGCTGGATGTTGCTGCTGTTGTTGTTGTTGGTTGGTTGGTTATTTTCATCACCTCCGTCTTGTGTATGTTTACTTGGAGTCCTGTCTTCTCCGGCTGCTTCTTCGACCAGCTTGTCGGTTTTCGCTTGTAAGTCTTCGATTTTGTGTAACATCAAACATAAATCATCGACGCGCGAAATCCAGGTCTTCTAGGTTCTTCGCGTCGGTCAAGGATATTCCTGTCTTCTCGTTTCCCACTCACTGTCTGACGCATAATCCATTCAGTCCACCACAATTAGGAATATCATTCATTGGTGATAATAAGCACCCTTGTCTGACTCCTGTGTTTACTCCAAACGCCTCGCTGAGTTTTCCGTTGTGGATCACTTGACATGTTCCGTTGTCGTACAGCTGTTGAATAAGGTTGATGAATATTTGGGGTACGCCGTAGTACTCGTAGTACTTCACGGTCAACGCTGTCTGTCGAAGGCCTTCTCAAAGTCTATAAAGTTGAGGTAGAGGTTTGATTGCCATTCCATGCTTTGTTCGATGATGATGCAATTTGGTCAGTACATGATTTGCCTTTCCTGAATCCAGCTTGTTCTGGTCGGAGTTCTGTATCCAGTGCGTCCTTTACTCTCTTCAGGATGATGCGACTCAGGATTTTACTTGGCGTCGACAGGAGCATGATTCCTCGCCAGTTCTTGCAGAGTGAGGCGTAAGTCGCCCTTCTTTGGTAGTTTCACGAGGTAACCTTTCCTCCAGTCAGTAGGCACCTTTCCCTCCTTCCAGACCTTTTGCAATAATGGAGGAGTCAGCATGTCTGCTGTAGTCTCTGGGTCCGCTTTCAGTGCTTCAGGGGGTATTCCATCTGGTCCAGCTGCTTTTCCAGCTTTCAGAGTCTTGATTGCGTTCAAGACTTCAGCTTTCGTTGGAGGATTGGTGTCAACTTGCAGTTGTGTCGTGCTGTTGTTGGTATTTCTGGACGGGTTGCAGGTGGTGGTCGGTTCAAGAGTCCTTTGAAGTGATCCGCCCATTGTTTAATCTGTCTTTCTTCCTTGGTGATTGGGTTCCCTTGGCTGTCTTTTATAGGTTTCGCTTGTGTTGATCTCTTCCCGGATAGAGATTTGGTTATCTGATATAATGTCCTTTTGCCTGCTGCCTTCTCAGCTTCGATGGTGAGGTTGTCGTAGAATCGTCTTTTGTCCTTCCTAGCACTCTTCTTCACTTCTTTGTCCAGTGCTGTGTAAGTTGAGCTCAGCATCTCCTTCTCCTGTCCGTCCTTGCATTGAATCATTTTCTCTTTCACCATTCTCCTCTCTTCTATTAATTTCCAAGTGTCCGTTGAGAGCCATTCCTTGTCTTGTCTCTTCTTTCTTCCTAGAACCGTTGAACACGTTTCGTTGAGAATCGCCTTCAGAGACTTCCAATGTTCTTCCACGCATGATTCTTCAGTGATGTCGCGTAGTGTTTCCTGCTTTGCTCTGACAGTTGCAGTGAAAGTGTCCTTTGTGGTTGTGTCCTTCAGTAGTTGAGTGTTGAACTTGCATTGTGGCCTATCCCCAGCTATCCTCGAGGCTTTTAGCTTCACCTTGAAAGTCCCTTGTACTAGATAGTGGTCTGAACCCACATCTGCTCCTCTCCTCGACCTTGTGTCCAGTAGGCTCCGTCTCCACTTTCTTGAAATTGAGATGAAGTCTATTTGGTTTTTGGTGTTTCCATCTGGTGAAATCCATGTCGTCTTGTGTATATCCTTGTGTTTGAACACACTACCACCAATCACCAAATCATTGAAGGCGCAGAAGTCTGAGAAGAGTTCACCATTGTCGTTCATTTCACCGAGGGCCTCACGACCCATGGTGAGTTCTCTTCCTGTGTTGTCTCCTCCCAGCTTCGCATTACATCACCCATCAGGATTTTGATATCGCCATTTGGGACGTTGTCCATTATTGTTTGTAGTTGTCTGTAGAACGCCTCCTTCTTCTCTTGTTCTGAGACGTTTGTAGGCGCATAGCATTGAATGACTGTAACTTTCCTTCCTTTTGAGTTGAACCTGGCTGTCATTATCCTGGAGGAGATTGGTTCCCACTGCATGAGAGCTTTGGCTGCTGTTGGTGACATCATGATGGCCACTCCCTCGGTGTGCTCGTGGTTGTCCTCTGGGTGGCCGGAATAGATTATTGTCTCTCCAGTTGGTAGTTGGCACCTTCCAGTTCCGTTCCATCTGCTTTCGCAGATTCCCAACACTTCTATTCTGTACCTTCTCATTTCAGCGGCTATCTGGGCAGCCTTTCCAGTTTCGTACATTGTACGAACATTCCAGGTACCCATCCTTACTTTTGCTTTCATCGAAAGAAGGCACATCGGCTGACTGGCTTCCCGAAGGCTTTCACCAGCCTGCGTCATTTCACTTCCCCGATTCCAGCGAAAAATAAGGCTATTGTTTATGTTTTTGGAATTTTTAATATATTTATTTGTTGAAGTTTCTGTAGCGATTTGGTTGTTTTACAGGGGTGGAGTTGCTAGCACCACGCCCCAACCCTCCCTCTTTATCCGCCGGGCTTGGGACTGGCAAGAAAACTAGTAAGCTAGTAATCTGGTGAGGTTAAATATATATATTCTCAACAACTATGCAATTCATTGATTTTTATGGTTGTGTACAAGTGTAGGGTGAATTTCACTGTTTAATAGAAGCATGGTATTGTCTACAACCATTGCGCCATTATCAGAGCCATATGTGTTAGTCTGTACTCTTGTTACTACGAGATTCAGATGCTGCCTGTCTCAGTATTTTCGCAAGGCAGACATGATGAATAGAACACCAGTTAGTAACTTAAAAGTGAATTATTTTGAAGAGATCCACAAGTCTTGATCTGTCATATCTGATAGATTTGAGTAGCGCGCAACCACTCATATCAATCAGCCAGCAGCATGTGCAGTAAGGGTGTCAAGAATGGCTCTGTTGGTGTTGCATAATACTTCTTATACATACATCTCATTAGGCTTTTTTCCTTCACGTTCCTAGTGGAACATACGGCCTCAAGCTAGTGGCTTAAAGTTTCTGTAGTAGTGGTGATTATTTTTACAGGATGAGGTTGCTAGCCTGATGCTCAACCTTTCCTCTTTACGAGCATTGTTTCTGGCTTAGCGAGGTAAAGGAGTGTGTCAGCCAGGGATCGAACCGCGGACCACGTGCATGATCGGCGAGCGTCCTAACCGCTGTGCCACCGACGCATCCATCTCATTAGGTTACTAAACAATAAGAAGTGAAATACTGTATAGGTTAATTTACTTGATTTTTGAAAATCATTTGCCAAGTGTAAATTGATTGTTAAAATAAACGACCTTTTTGTATTAAGTTTCATAATTGTTAGCTGAGTTTGCAGTCTGTATTAATTAGAGGAGAATACTTGATGTGAAGTTAGAGCTAGCGATGTTGTTCAAGGGAAGATGAAAGCTTCTCAGTTGAACTTCCCAGCTCAAAGAACACAATAATACTTAAAGCTTTCACTTAGGCTACAAATCATGTTCATAATATCCATCTTTGAATTTCTAAGCATTTCCACTAATTTTCCTTGAAATAATATACTTCATCTCTTATATTAATGTTTCCACACTGTAGTATCATTCTAAATTTCTGATTTGATAATGCAACAGTCTGAGTAGATTTAATCTTTGCGATGATTTCTACTTTATTCTGTCAGTCACAGATTATGTATGATAGCCAGAAGTTATTAATATTGCTACGTGAATATCCTTACCGTAGGAATCTGTCACTATTTCATGAACTGTCCAGTTGAATCACCTATAAAATTTGTTTCAACCAAGTGAAGTGCTTTTTATTTATAGTAGCGGGTTCATATTAGTCACTGATTTGTTGTGTTTCCACTTTTCTCCCCTGCAGCAAGGTGTAAATTAGTGTAAGTGAAGTGGTAATAGATAATCGTATACCTTTCTTAGTAGCATATAGTGAATCATACGGATCAAGTCCAGCTTTATAGTTGTGATGTGAAAATCTACTGTAATTTGATAACTAATTTGTCTGAATGTGGGACTTAGTAGGTGGTGCGCAAAACCACTTCTATGGTGTTCTAAGCTACTTGAATAGTTTATTGATATGTTTGTTATCGAATTCAGTTTAATTCGGAAGTATAGATGAATTTATCTTCCCATCTGTTAATTTAGTGCTTTGTTTTCATTATTTATTATAGGCCTTGGAATAAGACCGAGAAATAACTTTATGACAACATTAATTGCTTATGCAGCCTCTGATCCACAAACTTATATGCCATTTGTACAGGATATACGGACGTTTCTTTACTTTTATGAGGAGGTGAACATACAGCCACAAGATGGTTTCGCCACATGTGATAAAATCAAGTCACCAGACGACATCGATTTAGTGTGTAAATTTTATCCAGTTGATCTTGGCGTTTGCGTGAAAGAGAATAATTTTGGATATGACAGAAGTCAACCGTGTGTCATACTAAAAATTAATAAGGTAAGGTCTAAAGACTAAAATGTTTTTTCCTTTTTACGCCATAATTTTAAGCTACACATTAGTAGTAAAATGATGTGATAAAAAGCGCCAGCCCTAGAGCCTAACTTAGCTATGATATTGTTTGGCGTTGGTGTCATATGTCGTGGACTGGTAGAGGTTTGGATTCTGTGTCCTGGTCATTGGATTCCGTCTCAGTTGTCGAATTTGCATCCTGAAGATCCTGGTTTAGATTTTCGACAGGGTCATCACTGTGTACTGCTGAAGTGCTGCAAACCAGGACGAAACAGCTGTCCAGTACTCCCTGGTTTTCAATTATTCGCTAACTGATACGTCAGTTCATGAAGTAACTTGAAGTCATTCAAGTCCCTGCAAATCAACAACTGGAAAATATGATAAGATACAGTTATTCTGAAGTTGCACATTGATTTGTATTCCAGTGGTAGAATAGTTGGACACAAGATATATTTATCCAGTGTTTAAGGTATTCACTGAATCGTTGTGCTGTGACCCTGGTCCGCTTACTCTCTGGGATTTACCAGGGATATCTCAGTCATAAATTATCAAGAATCGAAGATTTCAGTCTAAATCAGGAATCGTACAGCCTCACATCTTGTACTCAAATTCTGAAATCGGAATGAGCTAATATATGCAAAAAATTTGGATACTGTGTAGTGTAATTATTCCATATTGGTTCATTTGCTATATAGAACCGGTGTCATTTGCTGGGTAACTTTCCGCACACAACGTATTCTTCATAATAAATCTAATTTAACTTTGAAACAGACTGTGTTAGATGAAGAATCTTGTGCAGCCAGTTAAACAAAATAATCTAGTTTATTATCGTGTAATGAATGTAGGGTGAAGTACACAGATCACAACAGTAAATCAGGATCACTTAGATTAGTAGAGTAAAAAAAACAGCGAAATCTAGTATAATAGAGCCTACTAAGATGAAAAGTAGCGAGAGGAACTCGGCTATGGTGACACACTCAGTTGGACACGACCGTACGATTTATCATGTGGTTAGATGCGAAAAACTGAAAGTTAAAAAAGTCGAATATAAAAAGCTACAGAGACAGAATGATAACACATGCAATAAGAATGATTCAACACCTGTTGAGAATATCTGGGAATTTGTGCTACCTATGTGAGACAAATGCTAAAAAAGCACTATGAGAAGTATGAGAAAATGGAGTTTCGAAGTTGTATCTGATTATATTTGATGATTGTAGTCAATAATAAGTTATCTTTGGAGAGTTTATCGTCAAGCAATGATTTCTCTTCAGGAGATAGATGTTGAGAAAGGCTTCACAGAATCCTGTGTAAAATAACGATGCTGAGTCATTGACAACTGATCGAATATTTTCTACATATGCATTTTGTGATGATTTGATGGGCAAAAAACCACTATTTTCTAGTTTGAAGAAGCGAATTAGACATACTTCGAGGTGGAAATTCACCATGATTTCTTGTGAAAATTGAAAATGTTCATATCACAGTATGTGATTGATCTAAGTTATACTATAAATGGCAATGAAGAAAGCGAACGAAATCGCATAGTAGTATTTGCTACTACTTGATACGAGTAGGACAGTGATTCTGAAATTATAACTATCTCATCAGTAATAGTCAGCAAAGTGGCTCATTCTGTCTTGTCATGTCTACTGAACACCTTGAAAAGAAATCTTCATATGTTTCGCATGGTATTCATCTCTGTGAAATGTAAGCTGATGTTTCAGAACTGGTCTGCACCAACTTCTAGTTTAGAGATAGACAGTGAAGTGGTTCAGCCTGTTGACTGAGCACTTCACTAATTTGTCAAGTTACGTCAACCTTCAAGCACTGACTGATTCACTCACTGACTGATTTCTGACGAAATCTCACCACTCATAGAAAAGGCTCCTTTGGCCTTCGTCAATCTACATCCTCTCTCGCCTAGATATCCGGCTATCGAAGACAGGACGTGTGTACTGACCAGAATTTCGTTCTCTATTTCTTTGTGGCTGTGAGACATGGTCATCGAAAGTGGATATGAAGATATGAAGCGAAGAGGCTGACTAGGTGTCGTTAACCATAGGTGTCTGAGTTCTATCTCCCGTCCTAAGTGGTACAATATACTGAGGTGAGGCGTAGGGTGTTCATTAGGTAACAAGGAAAGTTGTTCAATGAAGCTATAAAACTTTAACGATTTAAATGGCGAGGACACGTAATACGTATATAAGGCTGCTGTCACCTTCCTTTCCAAAGATATAGAGTTACGGATGATTAAATTACAACGTGGCATCAATGATTAAAGTCTCTAACAGTTGGCTTGAGCCATATATATATATATAGGCGTAGATTGTCTAGGTGACATGGGGTGTCTAAAATGACTTAGAATCAATGACACTGAAAGATTTTGGTGATACGGTTGGTAATTGGGTTTGTGAATACTACCCATATATATTTAGGATAGTTTGTAAATAATTTTCCCTTCGACTCATCTAAAGTAAGTATAACTGGTTAAATGATTGAGCACATATACTGCAAACTTTTTAAAATATTCTATAATCTTTTGATAACTTCACTTTTTCTTAGGTATATGGTTGGCTACCTGATATTGTGAATAAAAGCTTGTCGAATAATCCTCTTGTCCGTTGTAGAGGTCAAGTAAGCTACTGATCATTTTTCCCATTATTCAAATAAAAATTATGAGCACTTTTCATTGAATTTAGGGATTACTGGACCGCTGTTTAGTCTTATTTTGGGACCGTTCATCAGTATACATGCATGACTCAGACTCGTCGGGTCGTGGGCTGGCACTGGTGCTATATATATATATATATATTCATGGACCGACCACTTGTTTTCGTCCTGTCAGCGGAGTCGTCAGTGGTTTCACTTGGTAAAAACAGATTGGTGAATTCTATTGGTGATGGGGTCATGGGCGTGTACTGCAGAAGGATCCTAAACTAAGACGAAACAACCATTTCTTATTCCCTGGTTTTTATTGCTTCTGTAATTAATGCCAGTTATTATCTAAGTTGAAATCAGTCAAATTTATGTAATCTGACAACCTAATCCATTTGTTATAAATACACGAATGTACAGCCTAGTTGGTGACTTCGTCGAAAAGAAAATTTACTTCGCTGCAACCGTCTTCTTAATAATTCCTATTATCCAATGTGTATATTCCGTGATTTGAAGAAAGTCAAGGACCGTTCGACTCTAAAGAGACTCAACAAGTTCCTATGTTTTTCCGTCAAGCTTGCCTAGACAAATGCAAAGATTTTCTTCTTGAAGAATTATCTCGAGAAACATGAATATCCCAAAGTATTTTGGAAGCATCTCAGACGAAATCACATATCCCCTAACTCACGTACATTCAAACGACACACTCTGAATCACATCGATGCATTTCGATCAAGACTACCTGAGCTAGAGCAGAATATCTCAAAAAACTCCCACCCTCTCTATGAGTTATCTGAAGACGAATGAATATCATTCGAAAACTACTCCAATACAATTACAAAGAAAAGAACAGATGATGTTATAATGAAACTAAACCAAAGCCTAAAGTCCGTTACAAAAGAAACCGTCTTTCCTACTTGTCCAGAGAAATACGTGTACAATTATTCTGATGTTCTACTATCTCCAATTCAAATGCAAATCTTGGCACTTGGACCTAAGTTTTGTGATGCAACGTCAAAAGTGAATAAATTGAACACGAAAGTCCAATTCGAGAATTTAATCGACCAGACGAAAGATCTGGTCCCAACCTCATATGAGAATGCAGAACTTTTCAAGTCAACCGTTTTAAATTGCTGTCTCGATTACATCAACAAAAAACCCAGCTTTCGTAACGTACTTTCCCAAAGAACATCGAAAGTAGCTGAAAGAACTGAAGGGTAATGAAGACTTGATCATCAAACGACCAGATAAAGGCTCCGAGAACGTTTTGATGAACAAATCAGACTACCTGAAAAAACTCTCGGTGATACTATCTGATGATAAAGTTTCCAAAGCAGTCTCCACAGAAAGATCCCACCGAACAGACGGAGCTGCAGCTAACAAAGATATTGAACAAAATGAAGGACGAATCCATTATCTGTTCAAAACTATACGAACAACTGCGTCCATCTGGTTCTACAACACCGCGCATGTACGGCTTACCTAAAGTGCACAAACAAGACGTCCCACTCCGCCCAATACTAGATATGATAGATTCCCCATATCACATAATCGCGAAATGTCTGTTGGAGATTCTCGGGTGAAAGAGAGGTTGTCAAGACACATTCAACTTTGTTGATTCAATTAAGAATGTCAACGGGGCAGAAAACAATATGGTCTTCTTGGATGTCATCTCTCTCTTCACCAACGTTCCATTGACAGAAACGGTATGTTTCTTTTGTGACTATATTCAATCCAATTGCATCGATGTCGGTATACCGATCCATTACCTGAAAGAACTGTAATTACGATGCACCTTCAACGTATGCTCTAGTTTCAAAAACGAAATATACAGGCAAGCAGATGGAGTAGCATTGGGTTCTCCCCTAGGATCTCTCCTGACCGACTGCTTTATGGTCAACCTAGAAAACAACTTATCATCAACTATTGACGACCTCCCTCTCTACAACAGACACATCGATGATACTTTCATTATTTGTGATGAGAATTGTGATCTAAAAAACCTACTTCAAATCTTCAACGACGCCCACAAAAACATCGACTTCACTCTTGAGGCTGAATCCGACGGAATGTTGTCCCACTTCCTCGACGACCATCTAACAAGAAACGCCAACAACTCTCTGAAAAGTTGTATGTACAAAAAGCCTACATGGAATGGAAAATTCATCAACTTTCAAAGCTTCGTGCCCCTAATCAGAAAGAGGAACCTGATATATGCTCTTTCCTTGAAGATTCGGAAGATATACAGAGAGGAAGTGATTGATGAACAACTGAGTGATCTCCGAAGAACCCTGATGGAAAACGGTTTTCCGCCCAGGTTCATAGACAAGAATCTCAAATCAAAGAAGAATTCCGAACAACTCCAATCCGTTCCAAAGAAAATACTTCTGCTTTATCTAGAATTCAAAGGTGGTATTGAAGCAGAAATCCTTCGTAAACGCCTCTCTATATCTCTGAGGAAAACATACTTCTCCACAAGCCTACGACTGACGTTTTCCTGCAAGAAACTGTTCAGTCAGAACGCGAAAGACAAGTTGTCGCGTTGGGCCACTTCAACGTGCATATACCGGTTTACTTGTTCTTGCAGAGTTGAGTACATCGGCCGTACCATGCGTCAACTTGAAAAACGCGCTCGTGAACAATATCCAGCCTGGCTAGTAAAAGGAGATCAAAAACGTCTAGTCAATTCAGCGCCATTCGAAGAAATCCTTCAAAATAATATACAAAATTCGACGAAACCTACCAAAGGGAGTAAAATTAAGACATCTGGGCATAGCTGAGGCACTAGCTATCCAAAGGCTCACACCCACGCAATGTATCCAAAACAAATACGTCCAACCCTTGTCTCTGCCATGGCCATCATAAACAGGTAATCCTTTTAGTAATGACCATCTCATTGCCTTTCTTATCCAAACTTCCTGTCTATTCATGTTATTTTTAAGTTTTCTTAATCCCTATTTACACTACCATATTTTCATATCCAAACTTCCTGTTTATTTTGTCATTTTATTATTTCTACATATTTAATCTCTGGTTGCATAAACAATTATTCGTGACATTAGTTATGATCCCACTAGATTTTTTATCCAAAGATCCTGTCTATGTTTGTTATTTCTACATTTCTAACCCCTAATTGCACAATGTCAATCTTCTTAGTTATTATGATGCTACTTTGTTTTAGTTTTATCCGTCCCCTGTTTATAATGGCATTTTAATTCCTAACTGTAATTTTATTTTTCTGACCTTTGACCTGGAAATTATTCTGGAATTTTCCCATCCATTTGTTATAAATACACGAATGTACAGTCTAGTTGAGGATTTCGTCGAAAAGAAAATTTTCTTCACTGCAACCGTCTTCTTGATAACGATTTCGCTAGTGGTCTGTGACTTTCCTTTATGCTTCTTTGTTTTCAGAATCCTCAAGATTTAGAAAATTTTGGTGAAGTGCTCTATTTCCCTAATATTACGGTGGATGGTATCACTTAGTAAGTTTTATTTAGACATTAGTGTTATTATGTCCTCTAAGGTGAACAGTTTCAATACCACGCTTTCTTTGTTTTTATATGTGGCAACTGTCACGCTAACTTCACATGTCTCAATATTACCATGGTCATTAGTTGGAAATGATTTATTTGGCGATTGTCAGTTGTAGGCTACAAGAGGCGCGTTTCTTCCTATTTGAGACTCCTCATCTGGATGTGCTTGTTCCTGAATGAAAGGTGGCGTTCTCGCTGTAAATGAAACTGGTAACCCATCACTTCAAAAGAAATAGCCCTATGTAATAGGCTACTTAGTCATGTCAGTCACCAATGAGTGAAAAGTGACTCCTTTTTGAAGAAAAGTATTTAATGGTACGGTGTTGGACTGTCGCCGACCATGTACATAGTCCCGGGTTCCATCCCTGCCGACGCACACCTGATATCAATGGTCGGCCTGCAAAATTTGGGCTACCGATATCACACCCTGAAAATTCCATACTTGTACCAAAAGTACTCTGTGGAATCAAGCTATAATAAAAAAAATTATAATAGATATCTTTAAATCCATTGCTAATACCAGCTTTGTGTTCAATATTCACAACCTTGGCTATCACAAAATTACGAACAGATCTCGTTTGTCCCTTGATTAACCACGGAGGATGATGTTCAGAAATCCGATGATAAAGATGTCTGCTTCTATTACCAATACTATTGGCTCCACAAGAATAGTCAAACTCAATGATAAGCATACAGGTGGCTAGATTATGTAGTTTATCCTTACTTTCTAAATAAGAAATTGGAGTGGATTCAAAGAGACACTGTGCTTGTGCTACACTGAATGCTGTTTCATTTCACCAAGGTTCTTCAATTTCAAGGCTGCTTCGGGTTTGTTGGCATACTAGCTTATCTTGGCAGTAAATTTATATTTTTTATCAGTAAATTTTTATGGATATCCATTTTTTACCAAATTATTCTCTGATAATCTTGAGTTTTTAATTAAGATAGTCACCATGATCTCCTTTCTAACCTAATCCTATATCAATTAACATTAAATAATATAGAAAGCGATGTGGTCAGATGAGCAGTGGTTTTCCTAACTGAAGCTGAAATTCAACATTTTGTGTATATGTAAAACTTCGGCACTGTGGTAGTAAGTAATTCCATAATAGTTTGTTTATTAGATATATCACACAGTGAAACAGTATTATTTACTGGATGACGTTTCGAACAAAATTTATTGTTCATAATCATATCAATTGTAATCACACGACTTCGAAACTTGAGTTTTATAGTTTTCTTTGTCCTCTCCTATTTGTCGTCGTTGGGGTAGTAGAATTTTCCAGATATCAGGGACAAGTGATGAATCATTCTTATTACATGTATTTGCAGTTGATTCGATACACAAAGCTTCTGTTATCAATCTCTGCCTCCCTCCACCCTGTGACATTAGATTAGATTTTAAAACTGTCATCCTATCCCATACATCCTGTTGTATGGTTGTGTGTAACTGCATGTTGTGAGTGGTATAGCTGAACTATTCTCTAGATTTCTTATCTCATTTGGGTCAAGCAGTCAAGATTTTGCCAGATTTTTATGTTCGGCTAGTCTGACTGACTTCCGTGTTCTACTGGTTTGACCTATGTATTTGACCTGACAATCATTGCAGTCAGACAGGGTATTAGATAAACTAAATTGTTTTGTTTTAAAGGCTCCATTGTCAGGATTGATCCTTTAACCGACAAAGCTTGTGCGTCGGTGGCACAGTGGTTAGGACTCTCGCCGACCATGCATATGGTCCGGAGTTCGAGCCCACGCCGACGCACACCTGATATCTATGGTCGGCCTGCAAAATTTGGGCTACCGATATCCATGCTGAAAATTCCATACCTGTACCAAAAATACAGTGTGGAATCAAGCTGTAAATAAAAAAAATAAAAATAAAAAATAAATAAATAAAATAATTGAGTTTGTGGTTGGTTTGAATGCCAGCCACTTTTATTCCTGGCTGCATTGTTAAGAATTCTGCATGAGGCTTCTGAGGTTCCTTTCTTGTATGGAATTACTGTTCATGATTTAGATTCCTTATTGTTGGTGTCGTCATTAATATTATATTGTTATTATTATCATTATTAGTCTTTGTAGTTTGGTTTGTAAGGATTAGTTATGTTTTACGAGTTGATAGCGGATTGATATCAGTTAGGCAACCATTGGAAACCAGGGAGTACTGGACAGCTGCTGTTTCATCCTAGTTTGGGAATCATCGGCAGTACGCACCCACTGGGATTCGAACACAGGACCTTCCGGTTACAAGACAAGCTCGTATACCATTCAGCCACTGGGACCCGATTCACTGGCCAGTTCATGAATTCTAACTTCTGCTAATTTGTAATTTAGCGCGAATCCCAGTGGATGCGTACTGCCGGTGATTTCCAAACTAGGATGAAACAGCAGCCGTCCAGTACTCCCTGGTTTTCAATGGTTCCCTAACTGATATCAATCCGTGATCAAGTCGTAAAACCATTATTAGTGTTATTATTATCATTATCATCAGTATCGCTACTTTCATTATTTATTTTATTTTTAGATTTCCTTACATATTTCCTGACTAATTTGTCCGGATAATTATTAAGTTTCAAGGCTTCTTTTATGTGTATCATTTCTTGTCTTAGATTTTCCTTAGTACTACTTATTTTTTGTGCTCCGTCAGTTAAACATTTTGTCAATCCTATTTTTACTGACATAGGATGGGATGATCTGAAGTCCAAGTATCTGTTTGAATGTGTGGGTTTTCTGTAAACACTAGTGTTTAACTTCCCACCTTCTTTCCTTTTTACGTTGCAATCTAACATTGGAAGCTCCCCTTCCTGACTTTCCAATTCATAAGTGAATTGAATTGCCTCTACCTTCAAGTTAATGTGTTCGAAAAATCTATCTATATCTTGTGTTCTGAGTACAGTGAATGTGTCGAGTTCTTAGTCAGAAATGAGTTCGTTTCTGACTGCCTCTAAAGCCATATCTATTGGTATACGTGTATATAAACTGACAATGTCAAAACTAACCATTTTTTCTTCATTACCTAATTTTAAATTGTCTAATCTGTGTTTTAGTTCATAAGAATTAGTTAGTCTAGATTTCGAGTAGCTTTTTAGAGGATTTAATACTATGGCTAAATATTTAGATAATTCATAAGTAGGCGAATTTCTAAAATCAACTATAGGCCTAATAGGGCATCCTGATTTATGAACTTTGACAACACCATACATCCTACTAGGGTCATTAGTTTTTGGCATTAAATTAAACCACTTAGACTCACCTAGAAACGGCTTCATTCGGCGTATAAGGTCTGCTGTGGATTTTTTAACTTTTTTCATGACTGTATCTATTGATTTATTAATTTCTTCATATGGTCCTGTTTGTTTGTCCAAATGGTCTGATTTGTCTGATACTACTGTTGCGTTTCCTTTTTCTGACTTTGTGATTACTATGTCCTTGTTGTTCTTAAGGTGTTTCAGGGCTTCTATCTCTGGTTTTGTTAGGTTAGCCTGGACCTTGGTAAAAGTGCTTTTACTGTTTCAAAACAACGGTCAAAAAAGGTTGACAGTGGTTGCATGTATATACGTTTAAAAAAACCTTGAGGGGTAGTAATTTCATTGATAAATTAAACAGTGAACAACCACTAAGATTTCAAAGGTCATAAGTAGCATGAGGGGAAATTCCGTCACAATTCACTAAGTTGGGGTGAGAGAAACGCAGACAGATATGTAAAAATGACATGAAGAAAATTAGGTCTGTATATCAGCTTCTGACACAATATTTTGCCAGATTACTGATTTCACGAGAATTACCACTCGTGTAACAGAGATCAATTCTCATTCAAATCTAGTAATCTTATGCAGTCACACATATGCTAGTAAGGCATCCACAGTTTCTTTAGTTTTAATTACACTTCAGTTTTAACCTAATTTTTTTAAACACTTAAAATCTAATTTATGCTTTATTTTGCTTAAATTTCATATATTTAGTGGTTACTTCAATCACCTATACTTCCCATATCTCGTGCAAGTAGCCTATCGTTCACCGCTTGTTGCTGTACAATTCGCTCGGCCAAAACGACATGTTCTGCTAATGGTACGCTGTGAATTATTCAATATCCGTAGTCCTGGTGATCCAATGGATTTTGAAATATTAGTAGATTAAAAAAAAAGAGAATAAAAAAAATTTGAGACCAGCTGAAATCATTAATAACTGGCCGACTTATCCATCTGTTGCTTTTTGTCTATCTGTCTGTTTCCGTCGTCTTTTCATATACATATCGTGTACTATGAAACTGTATTTCTATTGAGAAAGAACAAATGAATTGTTTCTTCCTTTTTCTTTGCTGATTTATATGAGTGTTTTACATGATCCTTGTTTTATTTTTCTTAGGAGGTAAAGTGAGGGAAAGAAACTTGTTCGGTCATTTAGATGTAAAACAGGATTTTTACATTTTACAGCATATTTTTGTTTTTATTATTTTGTACAGCAGAATAAAATTTTTTTTCAAAATAACTGTTTGATTTTATTTATTGTTGTGTAAAATTAGTGATTCAGTATTCCAATTATTATTCTTATAGATAAAGCAATAAGAAGACGTAATTTGTCTGAATCGTGTAATGTATTTGCGCAACACATTTCGAACAATCTGATCACACACGGACTTGTCATAGGAATATATATATAAAAAATTAATAAAGAGGTAAGAGGTGAGAAAAATAGACTTAGGTCAAGTTAAAAGGACATATTCAAGGTCAAAAAATAAAAATGAAGACCACTAAACCAAATAGCAGAGGTAATAGTACATCTGCTATGGTATCAAAACAAAATTTACCAAGGAAGGTTTAATGTGATGACAAATTGTTTTTGAACGCATAAAGGTGGCTTGAACTTTCTAATTGCTAAGGCTTCTACAAACTTTAGGATACGCCCCAAACACGTTTTATAGATAGGTTTAAAAGATCTGTTAACATCAATTTTATGACCTGTCTCTATAATATGTTTCGCAATAGAAGAGCTAGGTCTCCTGTTCTCACCGTTAATAGGTTCTGATGATTCCATTTGTTTCTGGAGCCATTTTGGAATATGCTCTGAAGCCCTTACTTGCAGAGATCGATGAGTCCTCCCTATGTATGTGTGTCCACACGTACATTCAAATTGGTAAATACAGTGGGATGTGACGTCATTTTTCGCATGTTCGAAGGGCTTAGATAGATATAATGGCTTTACATTCTCTAATATTATGATATTAGCTGCATAAAAAGTCTTTTTAACAGCAGCGTTCAGCCTTTGTCTAGTTATCAAGCTGCTTTGATGTCCCATATAGGGTAGCTTGATGTACACGTCTTTCTTAGGGGCGAGTTGGAGAGTGGGTCTTGGTGTTCTGACTACTTTATATCTCCTGATGAACTTCTCTGGATAATTGTTATCAACCAGAGTTTGTGTCAATATTCTTTCTTCTTCATCAAGGGTGTCTTCAGTGCATATTCGTCGGATTCTACTGAAGAGGCACCTTACTAAGCCTCTTTTGTACCGAATAGGGCAGAAACTGTGGTAATTAAGATACTGTCCTGTCCAGGTAGGTTTTCTATAAATAGATCTTTTTATTGACCCATCAAGCCGTCGACTAAGCAATATGTCTAGGAAAGATAAACAATTATCTTCCTCTTCTACAGATGTAAGTGATATGCTATTCTGAACTTCATTCATTCGATTTAAAATTGAGGTGGCAGAACAAGGCTTATCACTGATGACTACGATATCATCTACATACCTTCTATAAAGTGGCACATTTTCGATTAAATCTTCCGATAAATTCTCAATGTACGACATATAAATATCTGCTAAAAGGGGCCCTAACGGACTGCCCATAGCAACACCATCAACTTGGCGGAAACAGTCGCCTTCAAATGTAAACCTAACATTGTTAGTACATAGAAGTATTATTCTTATCATTGTTCCCTTAGATTTCGAGTGGAACATAGGGCTTCAGCAGCATATCGACGTCTTGTCCTGTTGTCTGTGGTTTTCTTTAGCCCTCCCCACTATATTGCTCATAGTCTGTCATCTCTTCCTCTCACGAACTCATCCAGATCGCCTTCGGACACCCAATTCGTTGTTTTCAGTTCGGGTTACACTCGGGCAATCGGCGAGCGATGTCACTCCAACAATCTTCTCAAGACCTGTCCGACCCATCTTCATTATCTTCTGTGAATCTGTTGAGCGACAGGTTCTTGATTAGTTCGTCGCCAGAGGTTTTTGCTGCCAATTTGATCTTCAATCAGGAGCGAATGCAGCTGTTAATAAAAGTCTACAATAGACTTTTGGCGATGCTTTTCATGATGCACCTGGCAAGTTTCTCACTTGCATAGAAGAACTGTTTCAACATTGTTGGCGAAAATCCGAATCTTATTGTTTATGCTGCAGAGTGCAGAAGATTTCCAAGCTGATTTCAGAGTGGTGAGTATCTGTCTTTCCTTTCCGTTTGTGGTTTTGACAATCTCATCAGTTCCGCCTGTGGTTGAAACGATATTACCTAGATAGGTGGAGGAAGTGGTCTCTTTTGAAATTATTCTATTGATATTGGTTGGTGCTGGTTGTTGTCGATTGGTTATTTTCATCACCTTCGACTTGTAAATGCTTACAGATGATAGATACACTAACAGTGTTAAAATACAAAATATGAATAGGTTTTTTTAATGCGTCCACTGAAGGGTAGAAATTCATTAAGAAGGGCTTCCAGTGATAGGCAGATTGGAAACATAAAAAGGAAATAAGATGGGAATTTAACCGCTTGTATTTCCAGAAAACGCATGCATTCATATCGACATTTTGATTTCCGTTCATCCAACCTGCTATCAGTAAAAATACAAATGGTGGAATCTTTAAGTGACAGGGCAAAAAGACTAAATAGTACAAAAGAAAATCTGCGATAGGGATTAAGACACAAAAGAAGCTTTGATACTTAGTAATTACCCTGATAAATTTATTAGGAATTATGTTAAAAATTGTAAAAATATTATGTATATATATATATAAATGAACAGAAATTAAGAGAGTTTAAAACATCAGTAGTGCTGTAATACAGTCAGAAAACCTATGGAACTTCACATAAAATTACTAAAAATTCAAAAAACAGTAGTGTTTAAGCCTAAAATATTATTTAGAAACAAATTATGTCGGTCAAAGGATTCTGTGGAACCCATTAAACAGAATAATTTAGTTTAACTAATACTGTGTAGTGACAATGAGATAAAATTCTTGGGTCAGAACACCACAAAAAGTTAGCCGAATATAGACTGTCAGAGCCTAACAAGCTAAGATATCTATAAAAAAGTGGTCAGTTGCACGGTAATGCATAAATTTACGGAAGGTGAAATTCACTGTTAATTGCTTTCTGTCTCGCTGGCTGAATGGTTAGCAGACATACTTCATATCCTGAACACTCTACTTTCTTTCCACAGCGAAGAATCCCAAACTACAACTGTCAAGTATTCTCCAGTTATGAATGGTGGTTATCTAACTCGTCAAATATTCGATATAGCGAAAATGCTAATTCAGGCATCTATAACACACAGAATAATTGAGCAAAGAATATTCTTTTCGATAATTTCCTCTTTTGGCTCAACAATCATATATATATATATATATATATATATATATTCTAGAATGGTAGTCAATAACTATATTGGTGTTTTTTAAATAATATCAATTTGTAGATTAAGACCACAATGGAATTACAGTTCTCTAAAGATGCTTAAATAATAATAACAATACTACTAATAATAAAGATATAAAAGTAAATTAGGGAAAATTTCCACAAAAATTGAGGATCATTCAAACCTAGATGGCCAAGGTAAGGATAAGGATGAATGACATAATGAGGAACTTAATAATATTAAACGGTTGCTGAGTGAAAATGGTCATCCACAAAAGTTTATTGATAAGAATATGAATCTAGAATTAAAGCAGTCCAAAGTACCACCAGTTCCTACAAAGGCCTTATTCTTGCAAATGCAGTTCCCTGGGGACAACGTTAGCGACATACTAATACAGCACCTTAAAAATGCGGTAAAACGAGCATTCCCTGCTATCAAATTACCCTGTATCTTCAAAACCACTCCTCTTTTGTGTTCGGGAGTAAAAGACAAACTGCTCAACTAACAAATATGTAAGAAGAAAAGAGAATGGATAGATTGGACATGTCCTGAAGACATCTTCAACATTTATGCAGGCCGTCGAGTTGAACACAATTGGAAAGCGATGGCTTAGGCGTAAGTCCAAGGGTGACATGGAGAAGATCATTTGCACAAGAAGGAGACGCTATAAGTTTCGAAAGACATTTAATACAATAATACTAACGTTTGCGTAAATAAAATGTATTTTTATATTTGTCATCAAAATGCTTGTTTATAAAGCTATCATTAATGTTTATTGAAGAGAAAAAAAATTTGGCGATAAAATATTAAATGAAATGAAAGGAATTCGCGTGAAACGTTTACCGGCTGCTTTTGTTATCACTAATTTTGCATCTAAAATAATTTAGATATCAGGATATTTTTTCACATGTCAATGATCAATTCAGCAACAATTTTATATCCACAACCGATTGTTTTTCTCAATTCTTCAAGTTTCCTTGTTTCATCTAGTTAGGGATTTAAAACAAAAAATACATGAAAATGGAGGAAAGAAATTCACTGTGTCATTCAATAAAAAAGGGCATAAGTTGTAAAAATATACTGCAATGGGAAGTAAGCTATTAATATATGTGCAAAACTTGGGCACTCGTAAAAAGTAAAAAACTAACCCTTACAGAAGAAAAAATAGAAAATGAATCTGATGCTGACTAGTGACTTGATACAGGATGGAGTTTCCTAAAGTTCAACTGAGAAGTCGTGACCAGTGAAGTCCATCCAGATGTCACGCGTGAGGATGGATGTCCTACCGATGACATTGTTTTGGGTCGCGCTAAACCACAAATTGGTAGAAGTTAGAATTTATGAACTGGCCATTGAATCGGGTCTCAGTGGCTGAATGGTATACGAGCTTGTCTTGTTACCGGAAGGTCCTGCGTTCGAATCCCAGTGGGTGCGTACTGCCGATGATTCCTAAACTAGGATGAAACAGCAGCTGTCCAGTACTCCCTGAACTTTCAATCTGTGATCAACTCGTAAAAACAATTCCATATTAAGTGTTGGTTTGTAGGGATTTGGTTGGTTTCAGGATTTCATCATGAGCTGACATTAGTTAGAGAACCATCCAGTACTCCCAGGTTTTCCAATGGTTCGATAACTAATGTCAGCTCATGATGAAATTCCATATTAGTTTGTTTATTAGATATAGAATAATACATAAAGATGTTGGAAAGAGGTGGATATTTATAAGATTAGTAGGTGAATATAAAACGTTACATAATATGGTGTGGAATTTGATAAGATAGAATTGAATATTGGAAAAACAAGAAAATAATAATTTCGGATTTAGAATGATAAGTGGGACAAGCGGAAACAGTTCACAATGAGAATAGTAATAATAATAATTCTAGTAATAAGAGAAAGGTACATAGAATAAATATATAAATAAATATATCTCTATCCCACTACGGCCAAGGCAGAAGTAGGGATTTTACATCCCTCTTCTGTACACAGAGGTCTGGCTTAAAGTCATTCATATCATGAATATCAGTTATAATCACACGACTTCGAAACTTGAGTTTTATAGTTTTCTTTGTCCTCTCCTATTTGTCGTCGTTGGGGTAGTAGAATTTTCCAGATATCAGGGACAAGTGATGAATCATTCTTATTACATGTATTTGCAGTTGATTCGATACACAAAGCTTCTGTTATCAATCTCTGCCTCCCTCCACCCTGTGACATTAGATTAGATTTTAAAACTGTCATCCTATCCCATACATCCTGTTGTATGGTTGTGTGTAACTGCATGTTGTGAGTGGTATAGCTGAACTATTCTCTAGATTTCTTATCTCATTTGGGTCAAGCAGTCAAGATTTTGCCAGATTTTTATGTTCGGCTAGTCTGACTGACTGCCCGTGTTCTACTACTTTGTCCTAGGTATTTGACCTGACAATCATTGCAGTCAGACAGGGTATTAGATAAACTAAATTGTTTTGTTTTAAAGGCTCATTGTCAGGATTGATCCTTTAACCGACAAAGCTTGTTTCTAATTGAGTTTGTGGTTGGTTTGAATGCCAGCCACTTTTATTCCTGCCAGCATTGTTAAGAATTCTGCATGAGGTTCCGAGGTCCCTTTCTTGTATGGAATTACTGTTCATGATTTAGATTCCTTATTGTTGGTGTTGTCATTATCTTGCTCACATTTGACTTGCATGTCGTCATTAATATTATTATTATTATCACTGTCACTACTACCATTATATATTTTATTTTTACATTTCCCTACATACTTTCTGACTAGTTTATCCGACTACTTCCAGTCTCAGATTTCCCTTGGTGCTACTTAGTTTTTGTGCTCTATTATTTAAACATTTCACTAATCCTATCTTTACTGACTTAGGATGGGGTAATTGGAAGTCTAAATATCTGTTAGAATGTGTTGGTTTCCTGTAAGAAATCTCAGTGATTGCAAGTAGGAAACAGACTTAAAGTAATGTTAATAATTTTTTGAAATGTTTTCTATGTTGACTTGTCAGCCCACGCTATTGGATACCGTGATAAAGCCTTTCAAGTTAACCGAACATTGTATTGGTTGTAAACTGGTACGAGAGATGTCTTTCGCTCAGTGTTCAGTAGCCTAACAGATAACACTTTATTCTTTACATATGATGCCTGCTGAGTTTTAATTTCAGTGGAGACCCCTTTAACTCACTAGGAAAAAGGTAGATTCAGATGATGAGTTTCAAATAGGACAGAACGCTTGTCCTAGCATCTACGACTAGCGACCATTAAACAACTAACTTGGAAGTTCTCATAACTGTATTATCTCCTTCATCAATAAAAGAATGAAACTGAATCACCGTATGTTATGTCCAACAAGACTTCATTCTTATATCAGTGTTTTTATGAAGTTTATCCAGGGAGATAAATATTAATGTATTCAGAAGTTATTAACTCTCGATTTTATGTTAAATTTAACAGTTCAAATAATACGAGAAATGCCTTAAATAACGACAAGATTACTGATTCATGTAATATTCTAAATTCATGGATAAAAACAGTCGAAGCCAAACATAACTGAAAAGTTGAATTTACCAGTTTGATTACTCTTTTCTTTTGACAGCCTAAAACATACAGTCGTGTAATGAAATAAGAACACTCACTTTACTAAGCAGAACGAAGGCATAGAGACTGCGGTTTATGGTAGTCATCATAAGTGAAATACCATGGCATAATCATTAAAAATCACGTTGATAACAAGTAGGGAAGAAGATTTGAAAAGTTTAGAGAAAACACTGATTAACCAGCAAAATAAAGGAAGGGGATTACGTGATGATACGCAAGGAGGTGTTTAAAAGTGATTTTTAGTCGATTAGCTCAGTTAGGATAAGTGAGTAAAAATAATGAAGGTGGTAATAATAATAATAATAATAAACACAGTAAATAATTATTTAATAATTCAAATGATTATTAAAAGAGTGGAACACTTTCTTTTCCATGCCAATGTCGGATTAGAGTTTCCTGATATTAATGAACTCAGCTAATTGAAGTAAAGTTTGATTTCTGTACTTATTGACGTACTAATCTTGGCGATGCAGCCACCATGAAAAGTGGATCGACATCATGGTGCACTCAGAATTGTTGTTATTAAATAATGCAGGAATATCAGTGGTTTGTACAGAATAATATGGTACCATCATTTATTTCGTTGGCTTCTCTTCAGCTGCTTACGGCCTAAATAAATTATGAGGTTTATGTACAGAAAAGTTTTAACATACTTGCAAATTCCTCATGATGTCAGTTGACAGAAAGTTCCACAATTAGTGAACAGTGCTCAGAAAATTGCGCTTATACAGTTTTTAAACGGGCAGTTCGAGTTTAAACAAAATAAATGTACGCATATAATGGTAAAGGAATTACGTAATAAAGACGAGAGGTGCCTAATATGTTGAGTGACTAATAAATTGGGTAACAATGTACTGAGTTCAAATCAAATCATAGAAACAAGAGACAGGCAAAATTATACTATGTCAAAGGGGTGAGGTTGAAGCCAAAGATTACGCAGTCGAATGAAATGAAATACCGCACAAGTAGAAGCGAGTAACTGGCATTAAAGCAACTACAGAAAGATAGATTAAGAAAAAGCATATAAATGCAGTTATTATGATCTCTGAAAATTATGAAAAGAAGGCTATTGATCACCTTAATGTCGCATCCTATGAAAAATTCAACATGGCAAAGTCAAGGGTGGCATTGAATAAACTGAAGGCTAAAACAGGCAAAATGTTACAGTCAATCAAAGAGAAACTTGGTGTACCACTTTGGTTTATTCTGGTTCCAAAAGGTTAAAGCCCCTGCAGATTTCATGGATCACCAAAATTAAACAAACCAGAATTTTGATTACGTCAAGTTGTGGAATTTACGAAGTCCCTCTGAGACCTGTACTTTCGATGATCAACTCCACCCAACGTAAGGTTACCCGTTGGATTGCGAAGAAGTTCGTCGACGGTAAGCCGTGCACACCATAAAAGACCCATTTGATTTCTCCAGAAGTGTGAATCACATGAATGTTTCAAAAAAGGTTCATGGTGTCATCTGATGTAACCTCCTCGTTCACAAGGATCCCAATCAATTTATTGAGATCATTTGTCAACAGTCTGATCTTCTCTCACTACCAGAGTCAAGAGATTCATACGCCTACTACTGATGTGTACTATGAGTGTACAGTTCCATTTTCACAACACCCTTTACCGAAAAACAGATGGTGTAGTTATGGGCAGTTCACTTAGCCCTGTTTTAGCAGATATCTTCACGTCAAACTCTGAGAAAACAAACCTAAGGCATGCAACTGACGAAACAACTTCCCATTGTTGATATGTCGATGACACATTCTTAGTGTGCAGCAATGAAATTCATGCTTCCTACCTACTCAGATTATTCAACGACGCACATAAAAATATATCTTTTATTTTTTTATTTTATTTTTTATAATGCGTCAGTGGCACAGCAGTTAGGACGCTCGCCGACCATGCACATGGTCCGGCATTCGATCCCCGGCCACAGACGCAATCCTTTACTTCGCTAAGCCAGTGGTAAGACTGTTAAAGAGGAAAGGTTGGGTATGAGGCTAGCAACCCCATCCTGTAAAAAGTAACACTGCAAAAGAAACTTATAGTCTCTAGCTTCACGCCCAATTTTCCACTGGAGAACGTGAAGGAAAAGAAACATGGAAATATTGAATTTATCATGGAACATGAAAATTATGGACCAGATGGAATCCCAGCAGAAGCATTGAAAATGGACCCAGAGACAACGGCGGACTTGATGTCCCCATTGCTGGAGAAGGTGTGCAAAGAGGGCAAAGTACCTGAGGATTGGAAGAAAGGATACTTCTTTTTCAAACTACCAAAGAAAGGAAACTTAAGTCAATGCAAAAACTGGCGAGGAATTATGCTCCTGTCCATCCCAAGCAAAATACTAAGCCGCATCATCCTGGAGAGAATCAAACAAGCCCTAGATGGAAAACTTCGACCGAAACAAGCTGGATTCAGGAGAAACAAGTCATGTATTGATCAAACCGCCACTCTACGGATCATCATTGAACAAAGCTTGGAATGGAAGTCACCTCTCTACCTCACTCAACTTCATCGACTTTGTAAAGGCCTTCGACAGCTCAGCGTCGATCGAGAGGTCATTTGGAAACTACTTCGCCACTGCCAAGGGATGCCATCGACATTTATACATCTCATCCAACAGTTATACGACAATGTTGCATGCCAAGTAATCCACAACAGGAAATTTACGGAATCCTTGGAAGTGAGGACGGGAGTGAGACAAGGCTGTCTACTATCGCCAGTCATCTTCCTGATTGCAGTAGATTGGATAATGCGAAAGACAACGGGCAATGAGGAAACAGGCATAAAATGGACTCAAACAAAAAGAGACTTGGAGGATCTGAACTTCGCCGATGTGGTATATATGTCTGATTTTCCACAAACTGGAAGATATGCAGGTGAAAAGCAACAAGTTGGCAGAAGAAGAATCCATAGAAGATAGGACTTCAAGTGAACATAGAGAAAACAGAGGTGATGAAGATTCCTGGCCAACACCAACAGCAACAAAAACAAACAACAATCAGCCAGCATAAATGGGAGGAACCTGAAAGAAACAACCTCCTTTACCTACCTACCTGCCTCGGAAGTATCGTTTCAACTACAGGTGGACGTCACTGACGAGGATATCAAAGCAAGAATCGAGGAAGCAAGACAAGCTTTCATTACCCACATCAAGTCTGTGTGGAGGTCAACAGCACTCAGAATCAAAAATAAGATCCGGATTTTCAACTGCAATGTGAAGTCAATCAGTGCTACTATACGGATCAGAGACTTGCACTGAGCGTCATAAACAGCATCTCAAACAAACTTCAAACCTTCATTAACAATTGTCTTCAGTCACTACTACTCAAGATCAGATGGCCAGAAAAGATCAGAAACAGGGAGGGATCTCTGGCAATGAGCGAACCAACACCGCAGGAACCGATTGTGAAACAAATAGGCAGGAAGAAATGGAGATGGATTGGCTGGCCATACTCTGAGGAAACCATCAAGTGACATCACTAGACAAGTCATTGGTCGAGTGGAACCCGAACGGGAAGCGGCGAGTTGGTCATCACTGTGAGGGTGACTTGGAGGAGGTCATGTGAAGAGGAGATGAAAGCATGTGGGCATACTTGGAGCGGGGTGAAAAAGTTGGCAGAAAACTGAAGACCAAGGAGACGCGTGGCTGAAGCCCTATTTTCCTATAGGAAATAAAAAATATAAGAATATATATATATATTTCCTTGACATCGCCACGAAGCGCCTGGAAGATGGTAATCTTCCGAGGTGAATTTATCAAAATCTATCATGGAACGGACAATTATTGCATTTTCATAATATTTATGCAATGAGCAATATTCAAGCTCTGTACTATAGAGTGAGGAAGGTATGCTCTGCAGAGAAACTAGAGGAAGAATTTACGATCCTCGAAAAATGTTGTAAAACAACAATTATCCTCAAAGATTCATTAACAAATATTGAAGATATGAAGGCTGAATGACCGAACAAATCACAGTTGAAAAATGCCTTTCTTCATTCAACTAGATTTTAAAGATGAAAACATAACAGCAATGATGAATAGAAGGCTGAGTACGTCACTAGCTAAAGCCTATCCTGCTGCTAAGTTCGTTAACATTCATGGAACAACATGCTCTTTGGTGCAGTCAAAAGTCGACGGATACCCTTCTCCTATTGATTCCAACTGTGTATACAAATTTACGTGTATCTGCGGCAACAGTTACATTGGGAGAACATAGAGAAGGGCACACCTCCGACTTTCTGAACATGTGCCAAAAGCCTACGTCTCAAGGAAACAAACTCTTATAATAGTGCTATTACCAGACATCTGTTTGATACGGGTCATGAGGTGGAAATCGCGGAATCCCTTAAATTTATCAATAGACAAAAGAGCTTGATTCTTCTCAAGTTTTCCGAAGCAATTTCTATCAGACGCTTGGAATCCGATTAATGTGTTCAGAAAGAAGCAGTTATTAGTCTTTCCTTGCCCTGATAACTGGATGTCTTTATTCTTCCTTTCATTCGACTGCGTAATCTTTGGCTTCAACCTCACCCCTTTGACATAGTATAATTTTGCCTGTCTCTTGTTTCTATGATTTGATTTGAACTCAGTACATTGTTACCCAATTTATTAGTCACTCAACATATTAGGCACCTCTCGTCTTTATTACGTAATTCCTTTACCATTATATGCGTACATTTATTTTGTTTAAACTCGAACTGCCCGTTTAAAAACTGTATAAGCGCAATTTTCTGAGCACTGTTCACTAATTGTGGAACTTTCTGTCAACTGACATCATGAGGAATTTGCAAGTATGTTAAAACTTTTCTGTACATAAACCTCATAATTTATTTAGGCCGTAAGCAGCTGAAGAGAAGCCAACGAAATAAATGATGGTACCATATTATTCTGTACAAACCACTGATGTTAATGCTTTTTTCAAATTCATCAAGGGAAATATGTGCATGATGTTTTTGGATGTTTAATGGTAATAGGCTGAAGGGACTCGAGTTCTTTTAAGATCGCAGATCGGTCTTGCTAATAAGTGCTAACCAGCACGAAAATTATGTTCGAAGCTTCTTACTGATAGGCTCCAACAATCTAACAACTGTTGAAACTGCAACGTTGTGGTTAACCACCTAACATGTTGTCTACATGGCAAAGTTGACTGATAGAATTCAGTGTGTCCCAAGCAAAGGACTAGACACATGATCTTGAGGACTACCTGGTGTCTATGAAAGTTGGTATTTATTCTACAAATCTTGCTTACGCTTTGAGCGTAAAAAAATCTAATTGAAATTATCTGCCCATCTATTTTTATTGTAATTTTTTATATTTTTTATTACAGCTTGATTCCACACCGTATTTTCTGTACAAGTATCGAATTTTGCAGCATGTGATGTCGGTAGCCCAAATTTCGCAGGCCGATCATTAATATCAGGTGTGCGTTGGCAGGGGATAGAACCTCGAACCATGTGTATGGTCGGCGAGAGTCCTAACCACTGTGCCACCGACGCACATCTATTACAGTATGAAGCTGTGACACAAAATTCAGGGTATAATTACCTTTTGTAGAGTATTTATGATACGATTCCCAATCAGGCCATTGGTTGATAATAATACTTCCGGGATTTTTGCTACCTCTCCATTTCCATACATCATCGTGTTGAACAATTAACGGGCAACCACCACATTCTTTTATCAAGCATTTCATTTCAGTTAAATATTTACTTTCAAAGACTTCCTTCATCTTTATACGTAAATTCAATATTTCAATAATTGGATAACCTTGATCATTGAAGTGAAAACAGATATTTCGAGAAAGCTCATTAATTCATCACAAAAGAACAGTTAGAATATGATGTGGATGAGGATAATTAAATGACAATATCCTTCTTTATTTTCTTGAAGATCCTTATTAAAGTGATGTTACTCCAGTGATTCGTGGTGTTTTTTTTTACTCTGACATGTATCCAGAATTGATTATTGTCTATTAGGTCATACGTTCAGGAGATCGATCTATTGGGCAAAGCGTATAAGTTATTTTGTATTTCCTATCGACTCACTGCATTGAATAAACCTCCTGAGCCTCTTTTGACCCTTCATTTTGTCAGGATCATCCACGGGAATGCGCTTATTTGGTTCTAACAGTACCCAATATCAACCAAATAACATCATATTAGCTTTTGGAGGTCGTCGAAGCCTCCATACTAGTAGTCAACACGCAGAAATGGACCAGTACAAAGTAGTCAACGGAAAATGCAAGTCAACTTATACACATTAATCTAATTAAAAGAATTACGCTTCAATAACTGTTGAAGACAAATGGAGGATCTCATCAGCTGGAAATTCAATGTTTGAAAGGTTACAGAGAAACCATTAGACACATTGTAATACTTATATTCCGGACGCGTTCATCTTATAATGTTTTTCCCTAATACTTTTTAAGCATTGAATTTGCAGTTGATAAAAACCTGTGAAATGGAATGAGACCGAGCACTTCGGTCCAATCAATCGACGGGAAAATCAAAAATTCAATTCAATAATTAATATTACCCGTCACACAAGAGGTGGCTCTCGTGGCCCAAGTGGTCTAGTGGATAACGCTTTGGCGTTTGAAACTATGGGTACTGTGTTCGAGCCTCAGTGGGAACATCATTACTCACTGAGAAATGCAGGTACATCCAGCTGACGAGTCCCAAATAGGACGAAATGCGCATCCTGGATTCCACTGCTAGCCACCATCCACCAATTGTATACTAATCAAATCCCAGACATCGTCGAAGCATCTGCACAAGAAGCCGACATGTCAACCTGAGACCGAGCACTTCGGTCCAATCAATCAACGGGAAAATCAAAAATTCAATTCGATATCATTTTATACTGCAAATCTGGTCTTTCTTTCTCTATCGAAATTTATATCAAGGGAACCAAATGTATGAGACAAATGGTGTTAGAAACACCAAGGGTTTCCTAGTGTTTTCACATTAGGCCTCATTTAGTTTCCGTGAAATAACGTCGCCATGTACAATAAGTGTTTCTGCCTAATTAGCAGGGGAAAAATGCCAACCAATCCCTACAGTATAAGATACAGATGTGAAATATTCCCATATCCTCATTAATGCATACTGTTTTGTACTAGCCAATCAACTGACACCTTTTATCACCTTGAGGTAACTGACTTGTAAGTTTTCTTTTTGCATATTGTATGCATTTATTGTGAGCAACCACCATCATTGTTTCTCATTTCACAATTATTTTGAATTCATTCCCCCAGGTTTTGACACAAATGGTATTTACTTTGTAACCCTATAACTAATCTATTTAAAAATGTATCCTTCTCATTACTGGACATTATTGTAACGTTAAATTTTATATTTTTATCATTGTAAGAACCTTAAGAGAATTGTTTGGAAACAATATTCATTGTTCAGAGTGACTGAATTAAAGGTCCATCTACTGTCAAACGCATATTAAATTTTAGAAGTCATTTCAGACAGGTGATATAGAGAAAGGCAAAAGGGATTATTGTGAGATACATTTTATTTTTGGCTGGTAGTTGGATGTGTTGTTAGTCCCATAGATGAAATGATGGTTTTGCTTCGGAAAACTAACAGATAATTTCCAACACTTAATTTGCAAACTAAGTTTAACATGTATATATAACCTTTAAGAATTAACATATTCTCAAATTTTAAAATATCTCGTAGTGCCATTTCTCATGAAAATAGTTCAAACTCTCAGTTTACATTGATCGGTCTCTAAGGTGTAGTCAGTATCTTCTAGTAACAGTTTGCAATATGTTCGCTAAACCAGTAGACTTACAATCGCAGCAGTTTTCAAATCAGTGTTGGGTGGTTATAGTAAACAGCAAATATGTCCTGCAACAAGGTTTATTGCTGAGTGACACCGATTGGTATGGTGTATCTGCAAAGTCGAGGCTTTTGATGCCCTGATGCGTCAGATAAAACCAGACGCCTATTACTTCCTGGGAGCTAATTGGTATAACTAATATATTGCTACTGAAATTTAGTTGCAGTTTTTTTAATTTCTATTTTATTTTGATTACGCTTGATTTCACACCGTATTTTTGGTACAAGTATAGACAACAACAATAACATCTCTGACTGCGTCACTAGGTGATGTGGGTTTGTACCACAGAGGCTGCAGCTAAGTTTCTCTCACGAGTGTCAATAAGTAAGAAACCTGAATGAAACAGGCTTCCTACTAATTGGACATTTAAGTAGTATCAATAATTCTCCAGTAGATTTTTAAAGGATTTTTAAAAGTTGTATTTTATTATTCCTACACTTTCAACTTTATGAAAACATAATGATATGTGTTAATGAACAAATACCTTTATGAGACATGTCACTCTTTTGAAGCGGAACAATTAAAATGTCAACTTGATCAAGAAATCAGGTTGTCGAAATGGATGATCGCTTTGTAGCCAATGTCTTGCACCCTCTGGATCATTAAATTTCATTACACCTAAACAAGTTCTTTCATCCCAACTGCCGTCTATGTATCGTATCTATCGAGAGGAAGTATAAATTAAAAAAACAATTATGTAAGGAAGGTAAAATAATACATGAGAAGATTTAATGGACAAATTTACATGAATATTAGAAGATTATGATTTTTTATGATGGCATAAACTACTAATTAATGCATATGAATAGTTGAAGAGTCCTCATATCAACCACTAGCACTCGTTATTAAGGTAATCGGGCTGATCTAAACACTTTGTGGTCGTTAATGCCGTCTGACTCAAGCCTCCATTCAAGCAGAATGATGAGTGATCCCGGCGCTTTCAAGAAATAAGGTGGTGAGTGGTCAAATTAGTCCTGTTGACAATCCTATTGTAAGATGCTCTTGTACACTGTCCAAATGGTACATTCTATGTACTTGGCTGCATAGCAGCAAGTAAACTTATAGATTCTCATAGATATTACGAACATTGGAACACTGTCTTGGACATTTCGGTGAATAAAAGGCGTGAAGTTGTTTAAAATCAGGAATACAGTGATTCATGAATAATTCCCATTCGAACATTAGTAGACAGAAGACAAGTAGTTCAGCGAAGAGTCTCATTTCGGCGAATTCATTTTCATAGCTGTACAATCGCAAATATATATGGTTATTTTGTGTGTGTGTGTGTGTGTATACATTAAATTTGTCAAACGAAAATACAATTAGTGAGTTCAGATGAATTGGATGTTGGTAAGAGGATAGCAACAAAAGTGATGAGTTGTCAAAAACGATTGTTAAAGAGGAGTAAGTTCAGGTGAATTGGATGTTCATATAAGAGGATAGTAACAAAAGTGATGAGTTGTCATAAATGATTGTTAAATAAGAGTTACGTAATAGCATGAATAGTTTGATGAATGAGTTGTGCTCAAAGGGTGTACATGGAAACAAAATAATATACAGAATTACACAAGGGTTTTAAGTTAGAAAAATAAGCATACAAACAGAAGTAAGGTCAAATCAAACAAACAAAGAAAAGTTAGGTCAAATCAACGGAGTTGTTACCATGCGAGTAGAAGTGGGTGGATAATTTTCTTTTGTATGCATAGTTCTGGTTCCACTAGCTGGATGGCTAGGGCTTCTGCGATGCAAAGAAGACGGAATCGTACTGTCTTTGGAAGGTTGTTCTTCACTTTGTAGATTACTTTGAAGGAGGCGTTCGTTGAGATGGAATAACCAGTGTTGACGAGATGTTCGATTATTGCACTCCTTATATGGCCATTATTTCCTTTCTGTAGCCACGCTGGATAGTGTTCTTTGACCCTTTTTGACAGGATGCGCGTTGAACGACCGATGTACCTGGCTCCACAGCAACAGGTGAAGTGATATATACACATAGAAGTGGTCATTTGCGGAATCTTGTCCTTTGGGTTTCTGCAGATCAGCGGGCGACTGGAGAACACTATTCTTAGTGTTGCCGCAGGGAAAGTTCTTCCTAAAGAGGTGGAAATTCTTCTTCTGAGGACGTCACTAAGTACAGCTATGAAAATACAGTGATTAGCATATTTTTTCAACTGCTGCTAGTATTCTGCTTCTTGAAACTTCAGATTTACAACTAATTTTTTCTTATGCAACTTTGCTTTTAGAGAAGTATCAATTGTTATTTTTTTATGTGTTTATTTCTGAATGTCGATGAACAGTGGTCATTGGACGGTGACTAAATTGTTTGATACGAAGTTATGCCTGCTCAGCTGGACGGTGCAGCAAAATTTCGTGTTATCCTCCGCGAACTTGGATCTAGTGAACATACTAAATACGTAAATTTTCTTTCTTCAAAATGGTACGTATAATACTGATTTTGATAAAAACAGTTCAGCTGTTTTTAGACACAATGAATCATTACTCAGTGTCCTTAAGAAATGTTTCATATTACTTAAGGAGCCTTATTGACAAAGTGAATTGTGTATGAGACAATTTCACTGCTTGATTTACACTAGTGGTTTATTTTTTCTAGATAATTACGAAATTTTAACACACATCCCATCGTATATTAGGCAAAATCCCACTAGTTTTGACTTCCTGGTACAGTCAGGAAGTCTCCAACAAATTGTTGTTCTTTCCATTAATTGTATCGAAGTCATTTGCGCGCATACATGAAACACAAGAGTGGAAAATGCCAGAAATATATAGGTATGTAGGCCTCGGCTTGATAGTACTTATTCAGATCTACCCAAAAATTGGTTCTTTGTGCAATTCTGAGAAAAAATAAACTAAGATAATTTTCAGCGTATCAGTATTGAATAAAATGTTTAATTTTTAAAAAGAATGAATTTTTCTTATGACTTACTTCTTCTGTAAAACCAATATTCATACCGTCGTAATTTCGAATGACAGCTTTCTCTTTGACTGCAGCATTTCTATAAGCCATTGCTCTACTTTTACTATAGGTGAGTAGAACAAACACTTCGTGCCAATACTGGATCAGGAAACGAGAACAGTAGAAATAAGTGAAGGCATGGGAGAAAAAGATTGAACAGCATGAATTATTTCCAGTCAATCAAAAGAAATTAACCGACATTAATTTAATTCCAATTAGGTTGCTGACGATGACTTCAGTGGTATTCTTTTACAAAATGTTGGATGTCACAACTTAAAACTCATCGGAACTATGTATTATACGTCATTACTAATATTCCCTTGAGTTCTGAGTGGAATATAGGGCTTCAACAACACACCGCTACTTCCTTCTATTACAACCCATCCTCTCCAGCTGGCTAGTTCAAGGATAGCCTATAATTCCTCATCTCCTACTCCCCACACAACCACACCAGTGCCATCCTTCCATCGACCACACACACGCCGCTTCCTATTGGGATCACGCTCAAGCAACGGTCTGCATCGCGCGAAGTCATTCCACGACCTCCTCAATGTATGCTCGATCAATACATCTCCATCGTATCCTACAAATTTGTTGACCGATCGGCTCTCGGCTGGTTTGTTCCCAGCCAGCCAGTGTCTCTTGTTACTAATTCTTCCTGGCCAGCCAGTTGTCATTTAATCGTCAGCATGGAGCCAGTGAAGTTGACAGATGTTGACAAAAGTCTGAAAATTGTCGGAAATGCTTTTCGTGGCACGCAGTACAAATTTCTGAGCCGTATAGTAGAACTGGCTGACTTGAGATTGGTTTTGAAAATCCGAATCTTATTCTTTTCGCTAAGCATTACTCAGAAGATTTCCAAACTGGTTCCAGGTTGATGAAGGCCTATCTTGCCTTTCCGATTCTGACTGACGACCAGCTTTGACATCTTCATCCGTTCAGAATTCCTGTAGTTGGGACGATGCTTTCTAACCGGATAAGTGAAGGAGGTTACTTTTGATAAATCTCTCCCATCGATGGTGATTGATGCTGGTTGTTGTTGTTGTTGTAACTGTTTGTTGGCTATATTCATCACCTCCATCTTCTCTATGTTCACCTCAGCGTTTGTCTTCTCTGCCTACTTCTCCAGTCAGTTTGTTGGTGTTTGCCTGTGAGTCTTCGAATTTGCGAGATATTAAACACCAATCGTTCACACGCAAGAAATCCAGATCTTCTAGAGTCTTCTTGTCGGTCAGTGCAGCGTATTCCTGTCTTTTCACTCCCAGTGCATTGTCTGATGAATAATCTAGTCCACCACAATTAAGAGTATCATCAGTGATAATAGGGAGTCGGCCAGCTCGTCTTACTCCTGTATGCACTTGGAATGACTAGCTGAGTTTTCGTTGTTGATCGCCTGACACATGACATTGTCATATAGCGAGCTGTTGAATGAGGTAAATGAAGACTTTGGCACTACCCGCCTTAGTTTTGAAGTAGTTTCGAGATTACTTGTCGGTCAACACTATCTGGTGAAGGCGTTTTGGAAGTCGATAAAGGAAGTTGAGGTAGAGGTTTGACTGCCATTCTATGCTTAATTCGATGACGAAAGGATGTATTTCTATACTATTACGGCTCAGATTGCAGTTGAACTAGTGTGAAGTTGGGATACAGACAATGTGTTCCAAAGAAACATTTTTCTCACAAAATCATACAGTTCATCACTGCATTAGCAACGGAATTGTTATACTATTTATTTTTATTCCCTTGGGTTCCCAGTTGAATATAGGGTAACAGAATAATGTATATATATTTGAACATTCTATTTCAAGTCGTTTTAATTAAACTTAAATTACACGCTCAGTGATTGGTTAAAAAAATATAAACTCTATATATACGTCTGCTTTGTCTTAGCTAATTACAAATGCAAGATTAGAATGTGTTCAACGCTAATGAGTTGGCAGTCAGTACATGTATATGATTCAGAAATTTAGCAAGTGCATCTTTGAAAGCAGAATTTCATCAGTGCCACCTTCACTGACACGAAACTGAAGATTAGATAGTCTGACAGAAAGTTTAAACGACGAGGAATTCTCAATTGAGGGGAAACATCTTTTTCACTATAGATAAGATTTTATTTCGATATATCATACAGTGTTATACAGTAATACTAAGTGCTCACGTTTCGAGCACAAGTTTTATACTTATATCAATGAAACATCTTTTTATTTATGTTAATTTTCATCTAATTGGTCGGCGTCTGGGAACAGGGGATGCAACAGGATTTTGAACAAGGTACTTCAGTTTAAGTGTTTTACGTTCTAATAACTCAGTTGCAACGCTAATATAGCCAAGCGTCGGTGGTATAAATTGTAACAACTGCGAAACCAAAACACTACATTGGCCAAAGTGGACGTCCCCTTCGTCTTCATATCCACGAACATAAGCTAGCCGTCAAAAGACATGATATACACTCCCTCATTTCACTACACACAGACAACTACGGACATCAATTCGACTGGGACAACGTTCAAATATTAGACAAAGGAAATAACAAGAATGCTAGAGAATTTTTAGAAGCTTGGCATTCCAGTGAATCATCAATCAATAGACACATCGAGATAGACAAAATTTATCAACCAATAAGAAAGAAGCTTCACACACAAAGGGTCAAAGTTCAAGTCAAAGAAACAACCGGTTCCAATACAAGTAACCTAGATGGTGTGAAAACACACACAAACAACCAATCACGTCCAAGGTCACCAGGAGAGATGATTAATAAACTCGTGGAGAAATCTAAAAGCTCACTTCAAATTGAAGTATGCGCTGAAGATGTCACCCAGTAGGGTGATGAAAGCTTCGCAAACTAACCATCCAGCTCAGAGAACAAAACCACATCAAAATCATCCACCTGAGCTACAAATCTTCTCTATCATATCTAGGGTTAAGTTTGCTGCTATGAATATAGTGTAACTTCTCTGTCAAGTTCAGAAATGATGTCTGTTGCGGTTGACCGGCTGAATGTTCCCGTGAAATTATAAAACACTGACCTATTTGGTGTATTCTGTGTTTGGAAAATCGTTTAGTTATCTGTTTTGTTTATTTAAAGTTGTGGAGAAAATTTTAAATCCACTCTTTCATTAATTTAAATGCATCTAGAGAACATAATATTGTGACATCATCAGGCGACTTCATTAATAATGAAGGACAATACACTGAACAGTGGATCACGTGTTGTGTGAAGTTATGTAATATCACTATGAGGCTGGGGCTCATTGGTGTAGGTGTAACTACCTTTCCTACAGGTTTGAATAGGGTACTAAAGTTAGGGTAGTATTATTATTAAAATTGTATCCTTTAATTCCTATAGGAAAATAGGGCTTCAGCCACGCGTCTCCTTGGTCTTCAGTTTTCTGCCAACTTTTTCACCCCGCTCCAAGTATGCCCACATGCTTTCATCTCCTCTTCACATGACCTCCTCCAAGTCACCCTCACAGTGATGACCAACTCGCCGCTTCCCGTTCGGGTTCCACTCGACCAATGACTTGTCTAGTGATGTCACTTGATGGTTTCCTCAGAGTATGGCCAGCCAATCCATCTCCATTTCTTCCTGCCTATTTGTTTCACAATCGGTTCCTGCGGTGTTGGTTCGCTCATTGCCAGAGATCCCTCCCTGTTTCTGATCTTTTCTGGCCATCTGATCTTGAGTAGTAGTGACTGAAGACAACTGTTAATTAAGGTCTGTAGGTTGTTTGAGATGCTTTTATGACGCTCAGTGCAAGTCTCTGATCCGTATAGTAGCACCGATTGACTTCACATTGCAGTTGAAAATCCGGATCTTATTTTTGATTCTGAGCAGTGCTGTTGACCTCCAGACAGACTTAAGAGTAATGAAAGCTTGTCTTGCTTCCTCGATTCTTGCTTTGATATCCTCGTCAGTGACGTCCGCCTGTAGCTGAAACGATACTTCCGAGGCAGGTAGGTAGGTAAAGGAGGTTGTTTCTTTCAGGTTCCTCCCATTTATCCTATCTGATTGTTGTTTGTTTTTGTTGCTGTTGGTGCTGGCCAGGAATCTTCATCACCTCTGTTTTCTCTATGTTCACTTGAAGTCCTATCTTCTATGGATTCTTCTTCTGCCAACTTGTTGCTTTTCACTGCATATCTTCCAGTTTGTGGAAAATCAGACATATATACCACATCGGCGAAGTTCAGATCCTCCAAGTCTCTTTTTGTGTCAGTCCATTTTATGCCTGTTTCCTCATTGCCCGTTGTCTTTCGCATTATCCAATCTACTGCAATCAGGAAGATGACTGGCGATAGTAGACAGCCTTGTCTCACTCCTGTCCTCACTTCCAAGGATTCCGTAAATTTCCTGTTGTGGATTACTTGGCATGCAACATTGTCGTATAACTGTTGGATGAGATGTATAAATGTCGATGGCATCCCTTGGCAGTGGCGAAGTAGTTTCCAAATGACCTCTCGATCGACGCTGAGCTGTCGAAGGCCTTTACAAAGTCGATGAAGTTGAGTGAGGTAGAGAGGTGACTTCCATTCCAAGCTTTGTTCAATGATGATCCGTAGAGTGGCGATTTGATCAATACATGACTTGTTTCTCCTGAATCCAGCTTGTTTCGGTCGAAGTTTTCCATCTAGGGCTTGTTTGATTCTCTCCAGGATGATGCGGCTTAGTATTTTGCTTGGGATGGACAGGAGCATAATTCCTCGCCAGTTTTTGCATTGACTTAAGTTTCCTTTCTTTGGTAGTTTGAAAAAGAAGTATCCTTTCTTCCAATCCTCAGGTACTTTGCCCTCTTTGCACACCTTCTCTAGCAATGGGGACACCAAGTCCGCCGTTGTCTCTGGGTCCATTTTCAATGCTTCTGCTGGGACTCCTTCTGGATGGCATTCAGGACTTCTGATTTCGTCGGGGGGTCAGTGTTCACTGGTAGTTCTGCTTCCGTTGTTGGTATTGTTGGGCATGTTGTAGGTGGCGGACGACTTAGAAATCTTTTGAAGTGTTCAGCCCAGTGTTTTCTTTGCTTTACCTCTTTGGTGATTGACTTTCCATTAGCATCCTTTACTGACTTAATCTGTGTCCAGCTTTTGCCCGAAAGGTGCCTAGTTGTTTGGTAGAGTGTGTCGAGGTTTTCTTTGCCTGCAGCTTGTTCTGCTTCACTTGACATGGCTTCATAATATTTTCTTTTTTCTTTCCTTGCACTCTACTTCACTCTTTTGTTAAGCGTATTGTAGCTTTCATTCACCTCTTGTTGTTGTTGCTCGTCAGTGCATTGGATAATCTTTTGTTTCACTATCCTTAGGGTATTAAGGTACCGTAAACACTAGCCGTTACTTCTGCATCAGATGTGGCTGATTGCTAACTGTTTGTGAAAGTGTTATTTGTTATTTTGATGTCAGAAATAGAGATCACAGTTTAGCTGGACAGTATTAATGAAGAATGTGAATAAGATGAACATAATAAACTGCAAACAAAAAGGCAAATCGTAATGAAAGTTGTATGATTGTAAGTGTGGTACAACTAGGTCTCATTAGTTTGGAATAAATGTTTTCTGTTTTATGTTAAAACTGCTTTTTAATACCAAATGCACCATCAGTGTTCAATAAGTGATAAACAGTAGAATTGTTTATTTCTCGAGGTTAGATAATACCACACTATATAGAGTAAACCTTTACAAATACAGTAAACTTTATTTTTCTTACCCAACGCCTAAGTTTCCATTAGTTTGACATCTAACTTGCTGATCCTACTTTCTAATAAACTTCTGCATATGTTAGCAAGAAGACTGAAACTTAATATATGACTCAGTCATCTGAAATTTTGAGTCCTTGCCTCGAGCCTCAATAAGGATATCAATACACACCACAGTTGTAAACAAATCCAAGTGATGAGTTATATCGAGTAATATTGTTTTACTCACAGGTTTCATGGATAGGCATGTTCATGATATGATCAGGTTAGACAGAAGTTCATTGATCTGAAATCGGTGTAGATGTCAACAGCAGTCATTAAAATGAACGAGGTTGAAATTTTTAACATTAATTTCAAGTCAGTCAGCAGTGATATACACTTCAAATATTTGAAGCGCGCATTATCAAGAGTATTTCCGACGGACTGCTGTGGATCCTTAATAACATATTCCCAATTCGATGTCGCAACACTGAAGATTACATGACCCAAGTGGCCAAAAAGGATGATCAAGCAATAAGCAACTATGGAAGTCAACGAATCACTCAACATCCGATTGTAAAATAAGTGTACAGGAGGAAATGCGGATGGATAGTTTGGATATACACTGAGATCTTAAAGTAATATCGTATGCCAAGTCATCGTGTCGAATATGAGTGGGAAGAGAGGAGTTGGGCGTAGGTTTTATGGTCATATGTAGCAGGTTATGTGAGGGGGGAATTACAAGATCATAGACAGGTGAGGCTGGGTGAGATTTACAACAGAGGACTGAGCTGAATGAAGATGTGCCCTACATTCTACTTGGAAAACAAGAAACGAATATTACTACTGATAATTTCGGAATGTAAATTTATTATCATATCAATTTGAAATAAACAAAATTAAATTATCATCATTTTCATTAAAAGTTGTACTTACAGCCAAATCTCTTGGTTCACACATTTTTTTTGTATTTTATTGAGTTTCTTTTCTTATCTCCTTTTCAAAATAATTTTCAGATATGTAATAATAATTGAGTGGTGGTGATTAAAAAGAAAATATTAAATGGTGTATACAAACAAAGTTCTATTAACACGTTTTGCTTAGTGGAGATTTCGAATGTATTACTCTCATTAGTGTTCAAAATCTGGAATAGTTAATTAATATCACACTAATAACAATTGATTGATCCTTTATTAAAATAAAATCAATAATTAAATTAGATTCATAAATCGTTAAGAATTACGAATTGTGTACAGTTGAAGTAATCTGAATTATAACAAGTGAAGCAAAAACAAATTGACGAAGCTGATGATTTTTCCCTAAGGATTATTTATTACTAGTTTCCAAAATAGAGCAGTACAATACATTTCAAATTACATAATTATTTGTTCTATATGTACCAAATGAATAGGGAGTCTCAATAGTACATCTCCATTCCATTCCATTAAATCTTCTGCACTCAATATAACGAATAAGATTCGGATTTTCAAAATCAATCTCAAGTCAGCCAGTTCTACTATACGGCTCAGAAACTTGTACTGCGTGCCACGAAAAGCATTTCCGACAATTTTCAGACTTTTGTCAACATCTGTCAACTTCACTGGCTCCATGCTGACGATTAAATGACAACTGGCTGGCCAGGAAGAATTAGTAACAAGAGACACTGGCTGGCTGGGAACAAACCAGCCGAGAGCCGATCGGTCAACAAATTTGTAGGATACGATGGAGATGTATTGATCGAGCATACATTGAGGAGGTCGTGGAATGACTTCGCGCGATGCAGGCCGTTGCTTGAGCGTGATCCCAATAGGAAGCGGCGTGTGTGTGGTCGATGGAAGGATGGCACTGGTGTGGTTGTGTGGGGAGTAGGAGATGAGGAATTATAGGCTATCCTTGAACTAACCAGCTGGAGAGGATGGGTTGTAATAGAAGGAAGAAGCGGTGTGTTGTTGAAGCCCTATATTCCACTCAGAACTCAAGGGAATAATAAATAAATCGCATTCCCTTGTCTAGGAATCGTCTGCAAAAACTGCTCACAGTTACTCATTCCAGACTTACGTGATCTCGATACCAGACTCAGATGTCACATCTATTGTTTCTTGTTCAGGCTCTATTCTATGGTCTCTTTGCATGTGATGTTATTTGAAGATCTGTTTGGCATGTACTCAATCTTTCATTCCCACTTCTCTCTGCTTATATGTTGGTTGGTGAATAGGGCGCGAGCTGGTTTACAGCTAGAATTCTATGATTCTTATCATTTCTAATTAGAATTGAATATTCGATGGTTTTTTCTCCACGAGTCATTCTCCATTCGTTTTTAATTTCTGGAGATTAACCACTTTTAGCCCAACCTAACCAGCTTCTTTAATGGAGCATGTTGAAACTATGGGAATCGAATAATCATTACTTGCATTTTTTTCCCGTGATGTATATTTCTGATGCCAGTTACTGCATTATCATCTGGTTCGTCTTGGAACAAGAAGGTCTTAGTTGAAATTCCACACTTGAGCCATGGTTGTGCATTGCAGAAGAGTCCCATGGTAAGTCCAAACCACTGTTCTGATTACCATGTAGCAAAAAATCGTGTCTCACCCAAAGCACAATTTACACTAGATCGAAATCCAGTGAAAAGAGCATTACAGATTAGTAAGCGTTTAACACGGTTTTCTTTGAGTATAACGGTACTAATTTCCTATCAGTGAGTTCATAATAACTAATACAATTGAGAATAAATTCATTAACATTTTCACGGAAACTGATAACCTGTAAGAGCCAGCAGGATGTTTTTTGAAAACTATTACTTGGTGATAATAACGAATGATAATGAATATATATATATATATACATATGGAAATTGTGGGGTAGAGTTTGAAACCACAGGTCATTGAATTTTGAATTGTCAGCTGAGTGCATCATAGCAAGTGTTTAAATTTGCAACAATCGCCAACCATTTTTGAATATCTTAGCGTCGATGTTTCTGACTACAGTTGTGAATGATTTTTGTTTGAGCCCCTGAAGAGACAGCGATTCTTTCATGGCTGGAAATACGACTTTCTAACGAGTGCTAGTAACCTAAGAAACCAGGGTCAAGGACTTCCTGCTGATCACCTCTAACTGTCTGATATCATCTTTTGGTGCACACTCGCAATAAGGCCACCATTCTGAGTACCTCGCGTTCACGGTGTACTGTGGATTGTTGGTATTAGGTGGTTGAAGGCGATCGATATGAATCATTCAGTCTGGGTTTCGTGATAGTTCGCACTCACGCGTCACCAAGGCGTATCTATAGCCTTGAGGGAACTCATGTCCCTCCTGAGATTCAAACCTGCATTACCGAGTGTTGCAGGCAGAGACGTGACTGAACGTCTCTGACTGTACTGCAAATCTGAATGATAGAACTCAGTCTGAATCAAAGATAACAGTAGACACATTACACTAGTTACTGACTAGTGTCCTATCAAAAATATCTAATACAGTCCTGCAGGAGGACAATCACGAACCCGAACAGTTGAGTGGTAACATCTCTGACTGCAGCACTGGATGACGCGGATTCGAATCTCACAAGCGTCACGATTTTCCTTCAGGTTGCAGATACGCCATGGTGACGAGTGGGTGCCAACTAGCACAAAACCTAGATTGAGGTCTTCCTGCCGATTGCCTCCAACTATCTTGTGTCTTTTAATATCAACAGTAGATAAGGCGTTTTATTAAGACCTGTAGAAACTCAAGTTAATAAGCAACTAGTTCTTATTTTTAGCTTCATTTTAAGATCAATATTACCGTTATTCTTTCCTTGTATTTCCAATGGCATTATTAGGCTCCTTTTTCATCCCTTAAGTCTGGCTCAGCGTCTGTTCATTCATTTCACTAGACGATCGACTTTCCATGGATGACGAATGCTTTTACTTTGCTGCTTGATCCCAGTTTGTCATGTGTGCGTCGGTGGCACAGTGGTTAGGATTCTTGCCGACCATGCGCATGGTCCGAGGTTCGATCCCCTGCCGACGCACACCCGGCCTGCAAAATTTGGGCTACCGATATCCATGCTGAAAATTCCATACTTGTGCCAAGAAATACGGTGTGGAATCAAGCTGTAAATCAAAAAAATATATATAATTCATCTGGATTTCAATGTCGCCATCTGACTCGGATCTCGTAGGTCACTGTCTTCAGGTATCAGTAGCAGTCTAGCGCTTTATTCATTGTGTCTGATTTGACTATAGATATGACTTCCCTCGCTTTTTGGGTTGAACCTGTTGCCGTTACAGTGGAAGAAATTGGTTCCGACTGAATCAGAAACTTCATTATTGCTAGCAACATCATGATAGCCACACTATCAGTATGGGCGTCCACAGTAGATTATTGTCTATACAGTTGAAATTTAAGAGATTTCACTTACATTCCATCTGCTATCACAGATTTTTACGCTTTTGTACAACATCTCATTTCGTTCTGTAATCTGGGAGGCTATAATATTGTGCGGAAATATTCCATATCCCCATGTTTCCTTTTGCCTTAATCAAAAGATGACACTACTGATTACTGATTTTCTAAAGACTACAAGCAACCAGAGTAATCTGTTCTTGAATTAAGGAGTCTATTCGATCTCAAAGGGAAAATACTCTATTTTTCTGTGACTAGGATTTTCAGTAGCCATGGGTCTGCTTTTTGCTAGGTTGGGTGGACAACCCCACTTCCAGCCTTCTCTCATTTCTGAGCATTAAGCAAAGATCATGATAAAACCTGCTCATTTTCAAGTAATAATAATAATGTTGAAACAGCTAAGTTTTATTGAAGGAGTAAGTATAAATTTACCATCATTAGAACAAGTGACTCTTAAGCTACTGTACATATTTCTAATTAGACCGAGCAGATCAAATTGTGAACTGCTTGTCAGATCATTCGAGACTGAGAGTAAAGCTTAGCCAGTATTAACAGAATGCTGCACCATCAAAAGAATTTAGGAGAAATCATGTCGTAGGGAATTGTAGACCCATATTTGAACTTAGATTGCTTCTAAAAGGTCAATTTGACTAAGGACTGGAAGTCAAGCTTTCATACCCCCTAGAAAACATGACGTTGCTAAATATATATATTTTTCCAGGTAGACCATAAGCTATAAGATTTTTTGCTGGGGAGGGGAGCGGTATTGTTGCCATTATCTGATGGAGTTGCTAGCTTAGTGAAAATAATCCCCTATTTTCCGGGTTAATATAAACTAGTGACTAGAAGTTTTGGATTGCCGCAAAGAAGAATCAGATGTTCGCTAGTCACGCTGGAGGTCCTGGATTCCATACGCCATGGGGTCATGGATACGTACTGAAGAAGATTACTAGAGACGTCAGACAAAGCAACTGTCCAGTACTCACTGTGTATGATGTACATTCCTAAAGCAGCTTATTCTTCACAAACACACACACAGAGTAATTTTAAATTCTACCTTTTCTAAGTGCATCTTCTTTGCTTTTTACACTGGCAGACAGAATTACCTATGGGTAGGTAATGTTTTCTTTGTCTAAAAGAAGTTTTAAAATGGATAGGTGGATATTACTTTAATCTTCGTTCATACATATTCTGCATAACAGACTAAAAATAATGAGAATCACAGGTCTGGTTAACTTACCGTGAATGAACACTCAATCAACCAATCATACTGAAGTATTTTACTAACCAATTAGAAAAGAAGAAATTTAAGCAATAATCTCGAAACCGTATATTGTCTGGTTTGCTGAAAGAAATTATTATTAGTGATAGTAATAGTATTATTTTTATTAAGTTTGTGCTTAGTGAGTATATCTTATGTCTAAAAACTGTAATTCTACGATCTCAACACAGTTACTTGCAATGAAATTCTTAACTATGGTGGTTCTATTAACACTGATGTACACCAATCAAACGGACAGTATAAGTCTGAGTAATCTGTTCTCAAAGAATACATCTCCTTTAAAATGTGGATATAGCTCATGCCCTAAAGACAAACCTGGACATATCAATGTACACCTTATTCCTCATACACATGATGATGTTGGTTGGCTGAAAACAGTAGATCAATATTATTATGGTGCAAACAATACAATTCAACGTGCAGGTGTCCAGTACATCTTAGACAGTGTTATAAAAGCTTTAGCGCATAGTCCAAATCGTAAATTCACGTATGTTGAAATGGCATTCTTTCATCAATGGTGGGTATTACAATCGGAAGAAATACAAAATCTAGTTAAAGAGTTAGTTCAGTCGGGTCAATTGCAGTTTGCTCTAGGCGGTTGGAGTATGGCTGATGAAGCAACAGTCTATTACGGGGATGCTATTGACCAGTTGACACTTGGTCGAGATGTACTAAAACAGTTATTCGGCAAATGTGGTCTCCCATTAGTTGCTTGGCAAATTGATCCATTCGGTCATTCACGTGATCATTCTGATTTACTTTTAGAATCCGGTTATGATGGTGTCTACTTTCAACGTATAGATTATCGTGAAAAACAAAAACGTAGAGAGATGAAAGAATTAGAAGTTCTATGGGATACTGCTGCATTTGATAATAATCTAAATAATGTAAGCTACGGTTTATTTACTGGCATGTTTTATGATACATACTGCTATCCACAACAATTTCAGTATGATGATCGTTATATGGCTGATTCGATCATAGATAATCCATATGTTAAGGGGTATAATGCTGATAGGGTGGCGAGAGAATTCATTGACTATGTCCATATGCTAAAAGAAAAATTTAAGACAAATGATATCATGATATTGATGGGTTGTGATTTCACCTATGAAAATGCTAATATGAATTTTAACAATATGGATAAGTTGATTGCACATGTGAACAAACAACAGGTGAAAAATAGTACAGTGAATGTATTCTATTCAACTCCTGCGTGTTATACACAAGCAGTAAATAAAGAATTCCATCGATTGAGTACAATCAACCGACGTGGTGGAGATTTTTTTCCATATGCGAGTGGACAACACGCCTATTGGACTGGCTATTTTACAAGTCGACCAGCATTAAAGTATTACGTCCGTCAGGCATCAAATTTATTAACAATGTGTGAACAGGTAAGTGACTCTGTGTTTTAATGTAAATCTGTAAATACAGTTGAATAAGGGGTGTTTGATTTAGATTGATAATAAAGCTCCTTTTGTTAGTAAATAATTGAGAAATACAAATAAATCTCTGAGGTGCAACCTCATAGAAAGTTTAAAGACTGAACTCCTATTTAGTATACTCACTGGAAATTCATCTTGTTCCAGTTTAAGACTACTTAACAGTGGTCAATAGTGATTGAAAAAAAGACACCGTGAAGTTCAAATGGGAAGTCAAAAGCCACAAGGTTCATTGTGGCTTACTTACTTAGTAAGTACTTAATTTTTCCCATAATGTATATTTTTACAAGTTAATTTGGTTTTTTTCAACAGTTTACGAACAAAAAATTGTCTTGTTTCTCAGCGATCTGAAGGGTAGAAACATGAGATCCTCACAGTATCGGCGAACTAATGGACTTGGAGGTGAATTTCAAAAAGTTCTACTGCAGCAAACATTAAACTGTCTAACTTAGCAGATGAAAAATAATTGTGCAAGAATAGGTTTTGTTAATGAAGAAGATTCTTAATCTGTTTTGACTCGTGTACTGTAACTAGAGTGGAAAAGATCATGGTGTGTTGCTCGTTTTCCTTTAAATCTCCTTTCATTCTTGGCTTATAGAATAGGGAGATGTCGAAAGCTTGTGAAAACCGTACGTTATCTGAATGTCCGATGATTACTTCACTTAGCAAATAAGGCAAACATTTTGAAGTATGAAATATGTCTAACCGCTATTCAGCGCTAAGTGCAGTAGTATATGAAAATCCGGAATATGTCATTTGTCCTGACTGTGACTAGTTACTATTGAAGATTTTCTTATCATTACATCCGCATCTTTGTTGATTTTGATATTCATTCTGACTCAATATCGGACTTTTTGTTAGTGAGTGTAGCTTACCCTTAATTGAGCCGTACATCTATGATCTATGTTAGTATGTCTATAAGTCGGAAATTGATTTGAGCACAATCAGGATTTGAGGAATATTCTGGCGTTCTTTGTGTTTCATCTATCTAAAATTTTCAACTTTTTGTAGTTGAACTGATGTCTGTGATTATTCACTTGAAATGATGTGAACAAATTTATCTCTTATCTTGTGACTCCTGACTTGTGTTTATGCATGAGAAAAGGAAACGGACTTCCATGTTGGCTGACGTGGTATTTTCGTAAATGATGAAATCTTTTGTATACGCGACTCTTATTTTATGTGATTTACTGTTGGATTTTTTAAGTCCACTGAATGTAGAATGGAAGGATTGTGTTGCTGATTAGCTGACGATATCCTGTTCTGGAATACTTTAATATTCTATCAGAGGTTTTCTAAATGTTATTCATATATGATAGGGTGATTTTCCTTATGCTTTAAGAGGATAGTCAGTAATTGTTGGTCGACGAGATTTAAAGTGGATATCTTCTTCTGAAGTTTTCTGAACATGCATTTTTTTTTACAGAAGACGACCATAAGACGTTTTTGCTTTCTTCGTATAAAGACATGAATGCTGCACTGTGTCCTAACTCTCTGAGCAGTGTTCGTATACAGATTTAGTGGAAATATATTGCTGGATTGTTTCTCTTCTCAATTAATAAGGAAATACGGCCTGTAAGCAGCTGATGAGAAGGCGAAGAAATAAATGGTGGTACCACTTTATTCTGCATAAACTGTAGCTGTCGCTTTGTTCAAATATTAATTCCACCAATATTGCTTTGGTACCTATTTTGAAAATAAAATAAGTGAAGTTATATATGTCCAAACCAAGTTCATTTTTAACAATTCGAAAAAATTTGGGTATTGGGTATATGATATTCATTATAATAAAGGTTTTCTTGTGTATCCCAATAAATGAAAAACAAAACGATATTGTCGCTTTTACTGACGTTTCGCTACTTAACGCTGTTGCTAACAGCTTTATCAAAGTAGCATTATGAAAACAGATTTGTAATTTTTTGGGATTAAATAAGCGATGAAAAGAAACTAGACATCTTGTTGACTACACAGCAGACATGGGACATTTTCATTCCACCAGGTTCTCCACTATAATTACTTTCAGCTGGTTCCACAGCTGCCCGAAATCCTACCTTTCCTCTCAACATAATCTTCTTTATGTCCCCTTAGATCCACGACCAGCTTCAACAGACAACAGTTTACGAGTGATCACTCAAAGACTGTTCCCACAATGAGACACACGGTAGGCTGACTAAGAAAGTAAAGATTTATTACTTCATGGGAAAGGCTGAAGAATGCAGCTGAGCACGTAGTTTCTTAACATGACTGGTAAATTATAAGTTTAATAAATGGGAAATTTGTTATGACAGGATAGTATGTGCTAATAGAAGTCCAGCAATGTAAACTTTAGAAAGGGTTAGAGTCAAATGTCTCGTTTATAGGTGATGCGAGAAACACTGATTCATAAGTCACCTCCACCTGTTTTAACACACCAACCTTAACTCAACCTTAATCTCATCCCGAAGCAAACACAAGTGTAAAAAAAGATAGAAAAAACAACAAAAGTGTGAAGGAGGAACATAAACGGGACTCACGATTGTTGAAGTGGTTGGCCACTTCAAGACCATTCTGAAGGTTCTTGGCGATGGTTCCTATTCTATAACTTCATCCTCAGTAATCCAAGAGATATGTTGGTTGGCGCACTTAGTTCTCACTTTCTGATCTATCAAAAGACGAATAAAGAATGACTGAAGGATAAAGATTTTATGAGAAAGGTATGTATTGAGGCAGAAGAACAACTAGTTGTGGAATTAAATGATTATAAGGAGAAATTAAGGAGTTATATAAATAAAAGGTTGAAAGAGAAACCTTCCATTCATTAGAATGCCTGTAAATGCGGCTTACAAGAGGCACATGTACCCGAGTGTTTTATATGTATCGATTTTAAATACTATCACAGAAACTTTAACATACTTTTTCATATGCTTATGTGTTTGCTTTCCAAAAACAGATTCATCTGTTCGCAAATCATATTCCAGAGAAATTGACAGACACTGAAAGCCTAGAAGGTGAAATTGAACAACTTGATTTACTACGTCAAGCACTCGGTGTTCTACAGCATCATGATGCTGTATCTGGTACATCGAAACAGCATGTTGCTGATGATTATGCCTGGCGACTGTATAACGCTTCACAATCATGCCAAGCCCTAATAAGTGATTCATATCAAAAGTTATTGTCAAATCTCCAGCCATACATAAAACATAATTCTGACCCAATATTCTGTGATTTATTGAATATCAGTTTATGCACTGCAACTGAAGGCAATCGACCGTATGTACAACAGTCCAAAGGCAATAGTGGTATTTTCATCTTCCTATACAATCCCTTAAGTTGGCAACAGTCAAGTGAATGGATTCGATTTCCATTGTATCTGCCACAAGACAACTTACCTTCGAATGGTATTCAGATTATATTAAAGGATTTAAATGAGATTTCAGAAGATTTAAATGTGCCTTATCAATTAATACCAATCGGACAACGAACAGCAAACATTCCTGAAAGAAAATCCAAATCACATGAAGCCAATCATGAATTATTATTCAAGCCGATGATGCTACCACCGCTTGGATTCGCATTGTTTTACTTCGCCATAAATCCGATACCATCACAGACGTCATCTGTATTAACATCATCAACTATGCCACAAAACGATAATTTTTCTGCTCTGAAGAGAAGTACAATGGATCTGATTTACAATGATGGTGATCAGTGTGTACAAGTTGTATTAAAACAATTAAAAAATGAGATTGATGTTCAAATCAAACTGAACATTGAACTGATGTATTATCAAGGCGAAGCAGATCGATCGCAACGATCAGGTGCATATGTATTTTTACCAAAAGCTGGTTCTGCAATAATGAAATTTGATTCTGTACATGGAAAAGTAAGAGTCGACAGTCAGTTTGTACTTATAAAGTTTAAATTTCTGTTTAAAGATATTCTACTGTGAGAAGTTTTGGAAACGACTTGAACAATTCTCCTCTTACGGTTGTTTATTCAATTATTAAGAATTAGATTCTTAATTTGCAAATTGTACACTTGGAATTATGCACTGACAACAGTTACTTCTGAAAACCTAAATTATGCTAATCTCTACCTGATTCAACTTTCACTTATCCTCAAAGGTCTGTTGAAGACTAAAGTCTCCACAGTATCGTCGGTGGCACAGTGGTTAGGACTCTTGCCGACCATGCACATGGTCCGGGGTTCGATCCCCTGCCGACGCACACCCGATATCTATGGTCGGCCTGCAAAATTTGGGCTACCGATATCCATGCTGAAAATTCCATACTTGTACAGAAAATACAGTGTGGAATCGAGCTGTAATCAAAAAAATAAAAAATAAAAATAAATATCAAATGAAAGGGCCGCACTCATTATATTATCCACTACAATTGTCACCGAAATTTGGTTAAAGGAAAAGGGTATACTGGAAGTGTTGTTAATCTGATAAACAATGACGATAGAAAACATTCTGATAATATTGTTGTTGTTATTACTTTATTAGTTTCCAAGTAGAACATATGGGGCCTATAGCACATTTGCATTGCACTAGTTTTTTGGCCATCACTTCTAACTGCCTCTAAAACCGCCTACAACTTTCTATATTCTCTTGACATGACCTCTTCAAATTCACACTCGAAGTCATGTCCAGCTGATAGTTTTGCAGTCCCGTCGCACTCTAATACCTGCCTGAGTTCTCGTCAACGTGTTTCCCATCCATCCATCACCTATTCCTGCAGCATATTTGTTGGTTGCGTAATAGGTTGTCGGTTGTTTCGATGACCGCCACAGTTCACAGTTGCTTGTCTTTTCTGATAGGCCATCTGGTTTGCATTACCTAGGCAGTGAAGAAAGGTTTAGATGAATTTCTGCAGTTGGTTACTGAAAATGCTTTAGAGGAAGTGCACCCCAATTCCCTGGATACTGATTTAACGTTGATGCTGAAAATTCAAATCTTACTACTATTACTCATTTGTTTGTATTAAACAATCGATATCTGTTTTAGCAGAAAGCGTAAGTGCTTTATGAATTTGTAAAGAAAATTTTCAGAAATACTTGTGTCCTAAACACTTGTGCTTAAAATGTTTGTAGATTTAAAAACACGTCCGTTTGATTGATACAATTCATTTAATATCAACGCTGAGGATTATACACATTAAATGGATTTGTTCCATAAATACTAATCAATTTATATATTGCAGTTCTACAGGAGGTCGCGTCGTGCCACAGCAATAGAATGCTCGTCGACCACGCATGTGTTCCGGGGTTCGATCCTCGGCCACCGATGCACTCTTTTACCTCTCCAAACCAGTAATATGACTGGAAACGAGGGAAGATTGAGCATGAGGTTAGGAACCCCAATCAGGAGAAAATAAACACCAGTGCTACCGAAACTTCAAGCCTCTAGCTTGAAGTCCTATATTCCACTGGGAACTTAAAGGAAGAAAAGAAAAAAAACAGTAGGTCACTTTTTCAGTGGATAAGGTGAGTAATAACGACTGTGACTGCGGTAATGAGCGAAACATGTTCGGATAATCGTAAGTTATCATCGGATTCGAGAATACAGATATGTTTTTGACAATAGTTAACAAGTATAGAATCTATGTCTGGGATTTTTTCCCTACTGTTTTCAACTACTTAACGTCAATTTGAAGCTGAGTCATCTAACTGGGTGGCTATATTACAAACGCTACTGACAGAATTCAGTCACAGCCAAGGACTAGACGTATGGCATGGGCTGCTCCATTTAGCTATCAATCAATGCAAGGATTCACAGTAAAAAAGAATTACAGAAAGTAGAAGTGAAGATCTGGTTTAAGCTTCCATATATCCTTACTTCATTCTTCTAACTAATATAAGTTGAGCGACTGATGATACATGCAACAGGAATATTTGAATACCTGTCCGGGAAAGCAGGAAAATTCTATTAACCTAAAACAGATGAGCAAGAAGACCTGATGTGATTATGAACCATAAATTACTTGCTAAACGTCACCATCCAGTGATAATCATACTGTGTGTGTGCGCGCGCGTTATATCCGATAAATAAATTAATATATGTTTTGGATAAACGAAGATTATGCGAATCCAAACTTTGAATTGCAAACATCTTAAATAATTTATTTGGTGATTAGAACTCAGTCAGAGGGATTCGATTTTTATGTGCCTGGCAGTGAGCCCGATACATTGTGTGAGACATGATTACACTACCAAGCTGTTCAGACCGATTTAACTAGAGTAGGCCTGCAAAATCGGGCCACCGATATCACATGCTGAAAATTCCATACTTGTACCAAAAATACAGTGTGGAATCAAGCTGTAATCAAAAAATTAAAATTAAACCTAAAAATCTGCAGCCAACGAGGCAAATCGGTCTCTGCATTACAATTCCGGCACCGAAAAAGTGGAGCTATGAAACACAAAGTTATCTATTGAACAATAAATGACGGGTGAATTTTGATCAGTGAGTGAGCTAGATGAAGTAATATACTTTGATAGCACAAAATTTATCAGGTTATACTACTGTAAAATTAAGTCATTATAGGAGAAAATCATATGATCCGAGGCAAACTGAAATCAATGTTTCATGAATATTAACCAAGTTTCTAGTCAAATATGTCACTGGATAGCTTTTTTATCTTGTTCATACTAACGAAACACACACATACATACACCCTCAAAAAAAGCACATTAGTAGACATTTGGACCATAGAAGCGAGTACTGCACTTTTAAACGTCAGGTTCCAGTTTCTAGTCCTTCTCCAACTACTTCAGTCTTCATTAGTATCCTCATATCTTACACAGTAAGTGTAGTATTTGAGGAACTTGTTTTGGGGTAACCGAGTTCTTTGTCAACACATGAAGAAAAAATTTGCAGTGCAAAGTATAAACACTCTGTTTATTTCGAGGCTTCGGCTTCAGCTGCAAATAGCCTGAAACATACGCATAATATTGACGAAATAGGAACATACATTTTCGTTCCATTCCGCAAAAGTTAGACATCGTTTAGGAAAACAGCAACACAGCAAGTGAAATGTGATGGCGTAAAGAGTAAAAAAAACAACACGAAAAGATAAGAGCAATACCGGTTATTTCTTCCTTTTCGTGTTAACTGCAACTTCTTATACCATCAAATTTCACCAATTGTTATTCCCTTAGACCACGATCCTCATGCTAAACGTTTCCTGACAGATTAAAAACAGGATGTTCCCAATTCGTTAAACAAGAGCCTCAAAATAAAATATTCACAATTTGCGTCACAAATGTTCTTCCTCTTGCTTTGACAAAGACGACAAATAAAAACGCGTTGTATGCGTTTAAGGAAGTTTTAACAACTGATCTTTAAATACCTGATGCATCATGACAATATTAACATGCGTCACAACTTATTTCACCGAATTATTTTAGGCGATAGCCTGCAGTTTTGTTCTGTAGAAATCCTTAAATTGGATGATTTGGTGGATAAGGTCAAAATTATTTGTCTGTATGAACCAAAGTACATCATTATCATTTCAAAACAAGATTTTATAATAATATTGCTATGAAAGTCAGACGCAATCCTTATTGATGCTGTGTTCTCAAAACTGAGCTTCTTTGCAATAAAATACTCTCAAAAAAGATTTTGGATATCACATGATCTTTGTTTACGTGTTTTTTTTCCAAATTTAACATTGTGAAGGTGATAGATGGACCATTAGTCAAAGAAGCTTATGTGACTTTTTCTCCATGGGCATCTTTGATTGTACGACTTTATAATAACGGTGAACTGGAAGTTGAGTGGACAATCGGTTCATTACCATTGGATAGTATTGGTCGGGAAGTTGTCATACGTTATGTAATTGATGGCAAGGATATCCAGTACAGTAAAGCAGGTATTTCCAGATTATGAAATATTTTTTTAATGAAATTAAGGCAATGAGTGAAGTTAAATAATAGTGATCCAAGTGAACAGGAATTAAACGACCCTGAAGCAACTAGTCAAAGTTTGTGTGGATAGTAAATGGAGAAATCAACTTCATTAGTATTCATAAATGCCACTCAAGATTTATAGAGAAGATGTAGTCTGGGAAACCTTCTCTTAGCTCACTCCATTCTTTAATTTCACCCTTTAAAGTAATTTTTCCATTTACGTGTATTATATCGCCTAGATGATTAAAAAGGTTTATTCGTATAAATTTTCCTCAAAGTTACTTTAAAGTATCCTTATTTGATTGGTTATGACGACCAGAGAGAGGCAAAAGCATTAATCCAATCATTCCAATGGTCAGAGCATTTTATATGAGCAAAGACTAATAATCTTTCTTATATTCATCTCTCTTTGCAAAAATATTGCTGTTTGAGTCTCGTATAGGTTTATTCTTCATAATCCTGAACAAGTTTTAATTAAGAAACGACAAAGTGTTGGTTGTAGATAAGGTGCTTATTAGCGCAGAGAGATAATCATGATCCAAATTCAAAAATATGGAATACCTTTGACATTGGCTAGCGGTTGCGCTATATCGTGAATTGGCAGAAGTTAGAATTCATGGGCCATTGGATCGGGTCCCCGTGGCTTAATGATATACGAGCTCGCCTTGTAACCAGAAGGTCCTGGGTTCGAACCCCGCTGAAGAGTCCCAAACTATGACGAAACTGCTCTCTAGTACTCCCAAGTTTTCCAATGGTTCCCTAACCGATGTCAGCTCATGATGAAATCCTGTAACCAATCAAATGAATCCCTACAAACCAATGCTTGAATACCTTTTCTCATTGACAAAATTAACATGCTTTATGATAGATATATTCAGAAGTTCTATGTCAGGCATTAAAATCATTAATCCAAGGTGGCCAATGAAATTATTGTTTCTCTGGAATCTACAAGAGGCAGAATGTCACATAAGTATTCAAAGCACGTTACTATCACGTCATTCAGGAGCCGGGATCGATTCATGGCCGATGCACTCCTAGACCTCGTCTAGTTTACTAGTTGGTAGCAACCTCGGAAAAGAGGCAAGGTTGGAAGTGAAATTGGAAACTCGACCTCCTGAAGACAATATTATCGCTACAGGAACTTAAAAAAGCGTGAAGCCATGTTTTTCATTGGGAATACAAGGGCATTTAAAAAAAATGCCGATTCCATCTTATATAGATGCGCTTCGAAATTTTCATACTGATTATGTGACTCCCGAGGCACTCTAAGACCAGCAGACTACTTTAGATGTAATCATTTATGATATTAGGGTTATAGTTTCTAACCGTTTTGATGTTGTAGTCACCTGTCTTCTTTTCGGGATCTTACTTTTGACACAGTCATCCTTGGCGTCAATGGTTGAAACAATACTGCGCAGTTAAGAGAAAGAGACGAATTCCCTTATTTCTCATTCACTAGTGGTGACTAGGGCTTATTGTTGTTTAATGTCTTTCCAGTGTTCACTAAAAGTCGTTCTCTTCAATTCTAAGAGTCTGTCCTCATGTCAAAAAAGAAGAAGATTTTGAGTGTGTCTAGCAAATACACTCCCCTGCTATGGGAAACTTCATAACTTATTCTTGAAACCGGATAGTGAAAGTCTTTGGTAAGTCAGTAGACCGATAAATTTTGTTCCAGGGATGAAATCGAAAGTAAGCATGTGGACACGGAAACTGTATGACATTTATTTATTTGTTCTAATGTCTCACAGGCAAAATAAAGGCCCATCTCTTGAAAATCTTAAAACAATTTTGAAACATAACTGTTGGGAGGGAAATTCGATGGTTGACTTAAAATTCTGTCTTTGAATACCGATCAATGCACAGTCTGCCACAAAATGCCTTTGATATCACTTTTTGTCACTCTTTGAGTTACGAATGGAAAATCAAGAGGGGGTTGGGGTGTTCAAGCCTGGAACTTTCATTAACGGTGATTTTGTTTTCATAGATTGAGGTTGTAAACAACACGCCTAATCTTCCCTTTTTTTCTAGACGTACAAATGTCTAGTAAACCAGACGAGGTTCATTAGAGTGCATTGATCGGAAATCGAATTCCAGTCCCCTATGTGGCTGAACTACAGTGTTAATTAAATGGTTCTGAGACAAGTTCAGAACAACATAGAGACTGTTATTTTATGATGTGGCGCAGTGTGATATGGTAATATTGTGTTGAATATGAATCTGTTTTTGGACCACGTTTCTCTTGATTGAATATTTTAAATATAATAAATATAGAAGATAAATGTCATAAAATCCTAACTGGTAAATGTGTTCTGTAGGCACTAAAAAAGAGTAGCGGTTTATCTAAAATTTGAGCTAATCGGGTTATCGTCAATTAAATCTACCTCATCCTTATTTGTTTGTACCATTTTACTATGGTTTTTCTTTGCGATGCATCCCGTGCAAGATGGATTCCTATGTAAAATAAACATTCAATCAGAAATTAGACAAATAACACTACACTGCATATCTTTTAGTGGATATTGTTATCCACCTAAGACACCATTAGGCGTTGGATTCACACCCTTCATACTATGAAGGTATTTACTATTAGTAATCGGAATCCACTCACCTGAAACAGTTGTGCTTGCTAGCCAGATAAATGAAGTGATCTGAACACAGTGGTTGGCTGTATCACTCGTCTGAAGCCGGCCTCATCACGTATTGTGATCTAAATACCTGTTGGTTTCCACGAGAATCCATGGTGTTTTCTCAGCTTGTAAGATGTAATTTGCAAGTGACAAATTCTATTCCAGGTTCTTATTCTGCTACTGAGTAGAAATACCATTGTTTCTAATTGAAATTACTAGTGGCCTCATAATGCTGAGTAGTATTCATCTCCTTCTGAATGAGATAACAAATGAAAAGTACTGCAGCTGAAAACTACATCTTATGATGAGATTCTGTTATATTTTGCTATGTATATATGGATCGATATTCCATTATAATTATCAATCATGTTAAGACTGTCTATTGCTTTGTTCATTTTGAACATTCGCTCATACACTTGTGTTCACACACTTGTTCGGACATTCATACTTTTTCACTCACACACTTGTGTGACATTAATTTTCCTTGTTTTGGGAAAATACAAGTATCATCGCAAACCTAGTGGTCTTCTGATTTCCGCCTTCTTGCGTCAGGACTATTAACTACTCGACGAGTACATAACAATAATTTGGCGGCGGGGAAAACTATGGATTCTTCTAAATTGGAATTACTATTTGAACAACAAATGAAATTAATGGAAATGTTCGTCAACCAACAGACTGGTCCAACTTCACCTTCAAGCAATCTGAATCATACCATGCTACCATCTGTCGACGGCATTGTGAATAGTATTTCACAGTTCAATTATAATCCAGATGCTAATGTCACTTTTGACACATGGTATCACCGATATGAGGATTTATTCACAGTTGATCTCGCCTCACAAGACGATGCTTGGAAGGTGCGAGTGTTGTTACGTAAATTGGGTCCCGCAGAATATGAGAGGTACTGCAACCTAATTTTACCCCAGAAACCACGTGACAAGTGTTTCGATGATACAATAAAGCTGCTGCGTGAACATTTTGGAGACCACTCCTCATTATTCAGCATACGTTATCGTTTCCTCAAGCTGACAATGAATGAAAATGATGATTTTCTTACTCACGTTGGCACAGTCAACCGAGAATGTGAGAGATTTCGACTCAGGTCCTTAACAGATGATCAATTCAAAGCCTTGATTCTCATATGCAGTCTTCAATCTCCTCGTTTCACAGATATCCGAACTCGACTGCTCAATCAGCTAGAGCAAAGTCTTAAGTTAACATTACATGACATAGCTGATGAATATCAACGGCTGATTAATTTGCAGAGAGACACAAACCTGGTCGAATCAACAACTTTGAGAAGCTCTGATATTCATGCATTACGAAAGAGCAAAAATCTCTCATCATCCAGTCCTGACCCACCTTCTCCTAATGTTCCGCGGAAATCCACACATACTCGTCCAACTTCACAAAATACGACAAAGAAGACCCCACCATCACCATGCTGGCACTGTGGCGCGTGGCACTTTGTAAAGTCTTGTCCGTACAAAAATCATCGTTGCAGCAAGTGCAAAATCATCGGTCATAAAAATGGTTTTTGTCAGCCACGCAAACCCAGATGTCATAATCCAGCAAAAGCTCGACAAACTGTTGGTCCTAAATCTCCAAGGAGATCATTGAGTCTACTCGCAACCTGTCAAGTCACAACACCAGCTATGCGGAAATATCTTGGTCTTCAGATGAATGGTCATGATACACGTCTGCAGCTAGATACCGCCTCTGATATTACTGTTATATCAGAGAAACTTTGGAATAATATTGGCAGACCACCTATCGCAAATACTTCCCAGACTCTTGTCAGCGCCTGTGGTGGGCGGCTCAAACTAATTGATGAACTCAAATGTTCTGTTTCATTCCGCAATATCAAATTCACAGGAATTTGCTACGTCACCAAGAGTGATTTAAATCTTTTGGGACTTGATTGGTTCGATCGTTTGCATCTGGCTGATGTTCCACTAAATTCTCTATGCAATGCAGCCAAGAAACATAAAATGTCAGACAAATCCGAACGAAGCCGAAGCAGCAAACCCAACAGGCAGACGAAGCGACAGACGTCAACAACAAGCTCAACGGTTCCAGATAAACCCGCAAGAAAGCACGCTATTAATCATCAATCTTCTCAAAAGGGGAGGTGATATATATCCACATAATATGTGTGTTTGTTTGACAGTCTGTTATATTTTGCTATGTATATATGGATCGATATTCCATTATAATTATCAGTCATGTTAAGACTGTCTATTGCTTTGTTCATTTTTGAACATTCGCTCATACACTTGTGTTCACACACTTGTTCGGACATTCATACTTTTTCACTCACACACTTGTGTGACATTAATTTTCCTTGTTTTGGGAAAATACAAGTATCATCGCAAACCTAGTGGTCTTCTGATTTCCGCCTTCTTGCGTCAGGACTATTAACTACTCGACGAGTACATAACACCCTTAATGAGGGGTAGGGTTTCCACAGAGACTCAAACTCAGAATTAATCGTTTCGAGTACCAAAATAATATTTTCTAGACCACTGGGCCAGGAAAGCTGGCTCTTGTGTAATCACATGTGCAGCCAAATAGCATCGCGTTTAGTTTCAGACATAGTTGAATCATCGGTACTAGCAGCCGACGTGTCAACAATGACGGAGAATATCATTTCAATGAAATTAGTCAAAAGGAAATCAATATAATAACTTCTGTTTTTTTTATATTTCAAACATCTTTTTATTTCTCACTGAGAGGTATTCAATGTTTATTTTGTGGAACTTGTCATAATGTGTCACCTATATTGGTATATTTGCGTTAAAATTACGATTGTGGTTAATTTTAGACAAAATGGAGAAAACGTTTAAAGGACACGCTAATTACTAACAATTAATTGAACGGTAATCGAATTTTCAGTGTCTTGGGCGTGGCAGGTTCTGTAGGTCACAACGCATCTTCAGCTATTCATTGACTATATAGGTTAATTTGACTCAAGAATTGCTTACTTCAAAAATTAAATCAGCTAACGAAATCAACAGCCATAAAATAAAATTTTCATATCCATTAGGACAATATTTTGTCCAAAATTAAAGTAGACATGACTCGTATTCATACTGGTAAAAAAATCGTTTTAGTGATGTGGCAATGTTTCTATTTGTTCCGACTTATGCCATCTGTGTATAGTTTTTTAAATAATAAATTTGTTTTTGTGCATAATCTATTTTCGTGACAACTACTTGCTGTATTACTGGAATACAAATGACCAATAGATATTAATCGTCTGAGCTAATTGAGTGACCCTAAAAGACGTATCCAGCGTATTATTCGACAGCGCAGTAGGCACAAGAGATGGCTGCTCACAATATAAAACCAGTATCACTTAAACAAGCTCCCAATAACCTGATATTAGAATACAGAATAAGATTTCATCAAGCCATAAACTGGTGAGTAGTTTTGTGATTACAACGTCGTCATTCATGTGCAAAAGTGTGACGAAGGATATAACCGATTTAATCAGCTGATATAATCTTTATTGCTTCAATCAAACCAGTCAGAGACCACTTAAAAGATAAAGCAGTTTCATATATTAGTAGTCCTAGTGAATCTTCATGCAAGGAGGGTAGTATCGAACACAGAATGTGTGTAAACGTTACCAAAATACTAGAAGTAACATCTGAACTGAGTCTCAGCCTCCCGAATCTGTGCAACTTCTGCCCTCTGTCAGCTGGGCTGGCGACTACCAAAATCAGCTGTCCTCGTAGGTTATTCGTTAAATATAGTATGCCACCTTCTCCTGAGGTCTCAGCTGGGTTTCCAAGACTACTAGCTTCACCTTCTTCTTGCGCAGAATGCAAAGCTTTACAATAGCCTCAAAGTCTTTCGGAAATGTCTTCACTCCTCCATCCTCAAATACATGCGCCACGACAGTCGCATGTCTAATAGAAGCAGTGAAAGCAACTGAAGGAAATTCTATTCTGTAGCAGTGTACAAATTCTACACTTGCATATACATCTCATGATGTTAACACGTCGAATCACCTGCTTCTCATACATTGATTACAGTGTGGCTACAAGCAGGTAAATATTCGTGATTTTATGGAACGACTTAACTAATGTGCATTTTCATTTTTCCTCGTTTTTCCCATACTGTAATCCATCTAAAGTAAATTGAACTAGGTGAATGTGATAACTTACGTGTTTTATACATTGTCTGAGCCATGAAAATCAGTGAGATGTGATAGGATTTAAATGTTCACACCTATATTAACTCAATGTATGCCTTAGGATTATTGATTTAAACTCACTAATTCTAATGAATAGATAGCTAATATGAAAAGTGCTTCAGCTAAAAATGCTTATCTGAAACAAAACATTCACTCAACTCTGTTTGACTTCTAACAGTTGTCTAACTAATATCAACTCTCGGGGAAAGTGAGTCAATCAATTTCGTGTTGCATTGTCATGACTCTTATTACAAAAAGTCTTCTGTTTGTAAGGTATACAGATTGGAATAAGATTTCATAAGAAAAACAAAATATGTTGAAGTACACACTTATATTAGATTGTTGGTACTTATCACAGTTTGCTATGCTACTCATTGCTAATCCTATGAATCTTCTTATCTGTAAAGTCATTGAAAATCTAGTATTATCATGTGGACGGCATTATGTTATCTGAGTGCATTCTGAAATTTCTTGCAATAGTAGTGAAAGTGAAGTTGAGACGCTGAAAAGTAGGCACCAGATGGATGGCAGACTGAAAGCTAAGTTTAGTCAATCAGTATTTTCTCTCCATATTTTGATCACACTCTGCTAGAATGAACGAAGTGAATAGACAACATATTAGGTGCATAGAGTTCTATGACATCTAATACAGTAAAAAACCAATATCAGCACTCATCTACTAAAAGAAATGTTTGAGATATGAAATATCTGTTCTATTGTATTTACTGATGTTTAAGGAGACCAGTACCACGAATTTGAGTCCTATTGGGGATACCATCACTTACTGTAGTTGCGAATTCATTCAGTTGATGATTCAAATATAAGACGAAGCGTGTGTCCTAGGTTTTGCTATTAGCCATCATCGATCACATTACTTACTATCTTGCTTTATTTAAGTCATCATATCCTGAACCCTTTTTATGTTTCTTTTCAGGGGAATTCTTTACTGACTCATCTGGCAGACGCCTGATAAGACGTATTCGAGATCAAAGAACAGACTGGAAAATACCAGCAACATACACTGAGGCAGAGCGTATAACTTCTAATTATTATCCAGTTGTCAACAGAATTATGCTTAAAAATATTCTCATCTCACCGACGGATACTAATCTTAAGTTTGGATTGGCAGTTTATACAGATCGAAGTCAAGGTGGAACAAGTTTGAAGGATGGAGAGTTAGAGTTAATGTTACACCGCCAAACGGTTGTTGATGATGGATTCGGTGTAGAAGAAGCTTTGAGAGAAAAAGGTTTAGATAATAAAGGTACATAAACAATAATATTTCCTTGAAAGAGCTTTTCTAATCTTTTTACCTGCAGTCTATAAGTCACCGCTTTATTCATACTAGTCTGGTGTTTAATTTAAACTGGTGGATAAAGAGATCTTTCTAATTCCTCACTCTGTCGACGAACAACCATGGTTTTCCAGTACTGGACAACTATTCATTCCTCTGACTTCGGGAAACCTCGGCCGTACGCACTGATGACCACACCGGGAATCGAGCTCAAAACTTTCATTTTACGAGACCAGGCTGTCAACCATTCAGTCATTAGGACTTGATTCATGCATTATAACTCCTGTCAATTCGTGATATCTTATGCCACTACAAGGAGATTTGTCAGTTCAAGAGAGATATTGCTACCAACGGCATTAATAATATCAGTTTCTAAAAATTTGCAACGTGCTATGCTGACAAGTATCAACTACTGACAAATCAACATAAAGCACTATCTGGTTGACACAGTCAGAGTTATAAGAGATGCAAGAATAAACAACTTGTTAGAACAATGTCAACATCTCAATAACTTGCATAATAAGAATTAACGAATATACGGGAATGGTGAAAGAAAGTTGAAGGTTTGAATGAAATGTCTACTGATGGTAGCCTCTTCTTTCACGGTATTTCCTGTGACAACTTATAATTTCATCCGTAATGAGATACGACACACTCTAACTAGTTGTCGTTTCCTTTTTCCTTTTTTTGTCTCAAAACCATGGTATAGTTTAAATTTCAAAAACGAAATATCTGTGCACGGTACAATTCACCTTAGAATTCACATTTCGTCGATCAAAATTCTCATCGACTGTCTTTTAACTTGTTGAGGTCTTGTTGACACCCGATAATTCCATTGTAAATATCTATTTCTTGTTGTTTACACGATATTATTGTGTAATAATTCAACAATAATCTATCGGTTTAAAACAATTAGTCCCTTATATAAATTTTAATAGCGCTATTAGAACAAGCTAGATTCAGAAAAAGCGAATCACGTGCTGATCAACTTACAATTCTATGCATCATAATCAAAGAACAAAGCATAGAATGGCAGTCAAACCTCTACCTCAACTTCCTTCATCGACTTCCAAAACGCCTTCGCCAGATAGTGTTGACCGACAAGTAATCTCGAAACTACTTCAAAACTAAGACGGGTAGTGCCAAAGTCTTCATTTGCCTCATTCAACAGCTCGCTATATGACAATGTCATGTGTCAGGCGATCAACAACGAAAACTCAGCTAGTCATTCCAAGTGCATACAGGAGTAAGACGAGCTGGCCGGCTCCCTATTATCACTGATGATACTCTTAATTGTGGTGGACTGCATTATTCATCAGACAATGCACTGGGAGTGAAAAGACAGGAATACGCTGCACTGACCGACAAGAAGACTCTAGAAGATCTGGATTTCTTGCGTGTGAACGATTGGTGTTTAATGTCTCACAAATTCGAAGACTCACAGGCAAACACCAACGAACTGACTGGAGAAGTAGGCAGAGAAGACAACACGCTGAGGTGAACATAGAGAAGATGGAGGTGATGAATATAGCCAACAAACAGTTACAACAACAACAACAACAACCAGCATCAATCACCATCGATGGGAGAGATTTATCAAAAGTAACCTCCTTCACTTATCCGGTTAGAAAGCATCGTCTCAACTACAGGAATTCTGAACGGATGAAGATGTCAAAGCTGGTCGTCAGTCAGAATCGGAAAGGCAAGATAGGCCTTCATCAACCTGGAACCAGTTTGGAAATCTTCTGAATAATGCTTAGCGAAAAGAACAAGATTCGGATTTTCAAAACCAATCTCAAGTCAGCCAGTTCTACTATACGGCTCAGAAACTTGTACTGCGTGCCACGAAAAGCATTTCCGACAATTTTCAGACTTTTGTCAACATCTGTCAACTTCACTGGCTCCATGCTGACGATTAAATGACAACTGGCTGGCCAGGAAGAATTAGTAACAAGAGACACTGGCTGGCTGGGAACAAACCAGCCGAGAGCCGATCGGTCAACAAATTTGTAGGATACGATGGAGATGTATTGATCGAGCATACATTGAGGAGGTCGTGGAATGACTTCGCGCGATGCAGGCCGTTGCTTGAGCGTGATTCCAATGGGAAGGGACGCGTAAAAGGAATTAAGAATAAGAATAATAAGAATAATAGTACAACGTTTGTTTATTCAATTAGGTAATTATGATTACCAAGTTACGAGGTTAAGAGGAATTATAATTTGTTTTTGATCACACGAAAGAGGAGAAGGGGCTTACGTTAATGAATAGCTATAGCCTCAGCGTAATTCAGGAAGCGCCACTAACCATTTTTATGGATGATCTTAAAAGTTGCGTTAACATGAATATAATGGTTCAAATCAATTAGTTGTGTGGCTAATAACTTCTTCAATGGCAAAACATCTATTCTTATTATTCTTAAATCCTAAATGCCCTTGTGCTGAGTTCTATGAATCTTCACAGTGATTTCAGAGTACGGCCTTAATGCCATCACTCAGGTAGGTGAAAGAGGTGACATTTTCAAAATATTTCCTATTCATGATGACATGTTGTCAGTCAACAGAGTTTTCTCGTTTTTCATTTGAAGTCCTGTTATCACCACCTCTTATTTCCCCTTTTGGCTTTCTTTTGTGTATCCTTGAATTTGTTTTCAAAGACAGACAAATATTATCGAATCTAACATCCAATCTTTATATATTTTTCAGAGTCTTACTTTCATTTTTTTTGCCTGCATTCACTAAACAGGTCTGATTGTTCGAGGTGTACATCGAATCAAACTAGATGAATTAGAATTAATTGAATCTGATGATCGGAAGCTTGCTCAAATAATGAGAAAACCAATCATCCCACTATTCATTCCATCGAATAAACAAATCTCAGAGGGGAATTTCAAAAGTTGGAGTGGAATAACACAAAGACTGCCAGACCATATTCATATTCTCAGTTTAACTGCTTGGCCATTAAACAAACCTACTAACCGCACTGAAAATCAACTTCTTGTTCGACTTGAAAATGTAGATGAAAATTCTCAACTATCACTGATAGATGTAACAAAATTGTTCACGGGAATCAGAATAACTGATGCACAAGAAATGATATTAACAGCTGATCAGTCAAAGGAAGAGGCTGTTTTGCATAGATTACACTGGCCAACTGAACCGCCAAAATCTAACTCGTACACGCAAAATTATGAAAAGAATGCAACCAGTGTTGTTTTAAAATTACCTCCAGGTAAAATAATCACATTCATTTTAGATTATATATAAATGATAATACAAGTAGGTTTAGTCCATTTTAAGACTCCACAAGTGCTTCTAACACTATTTTCTTTAATGATACTGACTATTTACTGTTAAAATTAACTGGACAGAAGAGATCATTTGATTTCGCCTATACACTTTCTCATACGTTTTTCGTATTTTGGTTTGTTAAAGTCAAAAATAAAATTTGTTTGCACCTACTACCCTCATTAATTGTATAATGAAGTGTGGAAACTTCCTGTTTGGTAGTGTCTAACAATGGGATACTGTGGTAATGGGGTTCGTTCTAATCGAGGCTCATCGTCAGGATTTATATACCGACCCAAATGAGTGGTAGTAGTGGGTTATTTGTTCAAGGCGCCAAAAAATATGGAAATGAGGCAGATCCATCTCAGTTAGATAAATTACCAAGAAATCACGAGCATACAAAAGAAGAGGCTTTCACAGACATCGTTATAAATCTGCACAACCAATATATATATATATATATATATATATATATATATATATATATATATATATATATATATATATATATGTTACATTATCATATTAACAAAGAAATGTTTTCAGAGGTGTTTCAATAAAAGTTTTAGTTTTGGCTAACCAACAAGCAAATCTAAAACAACTACAGAAACATTAATAGGGTAAACGGATTACGGAAAAAGTAAGTAAATTAACCGAAGTAACATAATTGAGAAGAGTGAGTAGAGTTCGCTTCAGATTAAAATAAATTTTTAAATTCTCACCAGTGTCATAAGGAACCAAAGTGTAGTAGTGCGAGAAGGCAATGTGATTGTACACCCTGAGAATCATATCCTTGAAAAGTGCAAGTCTTTGCTGAACTCTTCTTCTTTTGTATGACCTAATGGTGGTTTTCACATCAGTAACATGAATGAATAAATTCAGTTTTCCAAAGTAAATTAAAGTTTAGGTTGGATTTGTTCACTATCCTACACTTATTTAGAGGATGGGTGAAAACAAAAGTGTGCTAATTAGTTGGTTCTCATACATCCATTTCCTTTCTGTTTCCAAATTCGTCAGCATTACATACATAAGTGTAAGATTAACTAGAGAGCAGATTTTCAATCATCCACTCGATGTGGAAACCAAAAGACTATGATCTTCAACTTTGCTGTAGCAGAAATCCAGTGTTATTCATGAACAGCTGTTCCAAAACCTGATATGATTGACTTAAGCTAGTTTGTTGTCTTATTTGAACTCCGGAAAACTATCTCCAGGATAAATCGATGGAGTTGATCATTTCCCTTAGGTTTTCATCCAACTGTAACTCTTAAGTGTTGTCTATCCAGTAGTAAGTCTGAAAAGCATGGGGGTGGGCTCAGTGACAGGCTAGAAACCTCTCCCCTGAAATAAAAACAACAAGAATACTAAAACCTCAGATTATGAAGCTGTAGGTTACACCTAGAAAGAAAGGTATTAAAAATATTCTAGAAAGCGTTTTATGTGATACGAAGTGTAAATCTAGAAGAGGACGCTTCAGTAGAGAAGTTGAAATGATGTAAAAAGTGACTAATTAATCTGAATGGACAAATGCTAGTGAAAATATTTTAAAATGTTTATGTAAAGTCTGTATATATTGACTTTCAACAAATATGTCTCGTTTAAGGTCACAGATAACCGGCGATATAACTATGCATAAATTGACTATTCGAATTTCTTTACGCCACTGTGAAGAAACGTTACATGGTTCTCCGGCACCTACAATTCAGAAGGTGCTCTGTTAATATACTTATTTGCTCCCCTAGCTGCACAGTAATCTAACATACACTTATGAACCTGACTGTGTGTAATACCAACATACATTTGCTTAGCAGGAACAATGAGACTGTTAAATGTACAATCACGATTTCATCATGAGCTGACATTAGTTAGAGAACCATTGGAAAACCTGGGAGTACTGAACAGCTGTTTCGTCCTAGTTTGGGACTCTTCATCAGTACGCACTCACTGGGATTCAAACCCAGGACTTAATGTTAAAGGAGCTCGCCTTGTAACCGGAGGGTCCTGGGTTCGAATCCGGTGGGTGCGTACTGCTTGAGCGTCCGAGACTAGGACGAAACAATTGTCCAGTACTCCAAGGTTTTCCATTGGTTCTCTAACTAATGTCAGCTCATGATGAAATCTTGAAACAAAAAAAGTTTCCACTCAATAAACAGTTAACCAATTCCTGGACTTATTGAATTTTAAGTGACATATGAAAATGACACATTTTGAAAGACTGTGAGAGGAATAATACATAATTACTGCCTTGATCTTTACTCTTTAGTTGAAGTTGAAGGTATCATTCAACATGGTTATGAACTATCAACGATCAGATGTCAAAGCTCAGAGAAAGTCAAATGATTTTCATTAACAAATATTCTCCAACGGCATATTGGTGAGAAAATAACACACACATTTCAATGACATAATAAGTAAAAAAAAAGAGTAGGATTTCGCCTAAGAGACAAGTTTGTGTAATTCTAACGTTCATTTGTTGTTATTATTCACTCCTTTGGTCCTGAGTGAGATACACTAACTCTGAAGTATACCATAAATACACCCCTCCGCTTCCATCACTGTCAACTAGCTCCAGAACTGCCTACAAAGTTCCATTTTGCTGTTCACATGATCTTCTCAAAGTTAAAATCTAAACACAATCGCCTACCATTCTGCCTCCAATCAACATCCTACCTGAGGCCTCATAAAAATGAATGGTTTCCTAGATGTACGTCAGATCCATTCATTTTCATTTCCTTCTGAATATTTGTTGAGTTGTGGATTCTTGGCTAGTTCATTGCAAGAGTTGCTTAGTGCTTATTCCATCTATTTGGCCATTTGATTCTCAGTATAAAGAGATGGAGGGAGTAGCTATTGATAAACCTCTACATCAGTCTGTTGGCAACTGTTCAAAAAACAAGCGCCAAGTCCATAGGCCGAATCAAAGCACATACTGAGTTGACATTTGAGTTGAAAACTCGTATCTTGTTGTTTATTGTGAATGCGATAGATTTCCACCCTAATTTCAGGGTAATTCAGACCTGTCTTGCTTCCTCCATCCTGAGTGGCCCTCATCTATCTCTTCTGTGGTTAAGGTGGTGCTGCTGCAGTTGGTGAAAGAAATGACTTCCTGTAAATCTCTTCCTCTTAATACAACTTAAAACTTAATGTCTCTATTTCTACATGAAAATCTCTACAATGGATGAATCACAGTCATGACTGCAGCGTCTTTCGAAAACATGGATATTTCATCCACTTAGAATTCTGACCGCAAACTTTATACTGAAGTTAAAGTTGAAGATGATGTTCGTATTGACAATTAAAAAGGCTCGAAATTAAACCTTCCAGCTCAAACAATATAACAAACTTGAAAGAATAATAATATCTTTATTCTGGATAGTATTTATATGATAAAAAGAACTTTGTGAAGAATTCACTGCATAATATTTTCCATTCGTACAATATCTTCAAGTAAAATATTAATTGACAGTATATCCATTCCATTATGTGATGTATCTCTGCTTTCTCTCCTTCAAGAAATCAAGGATATCTGGTTGAAATACAATTGTAAGATGTTCAGAAGTACATTTTGAGACCCAAGGATATGACTGAAGAACAGATATTTCATGTATTGGAACACACTGCCACCCGCACTCAGGCCATTCATCAAATTAAGTAGGGACTTGCGAATCAGGAGCATGTGAGCATTGTAAATACTCATGAGAGTATATATTACCAAAAGTGGTCATGTCTCAACCGAATATAACAAATATATCGAGAGAAAGGTGACTCTAAACTATAGCTAGAGGTAGTTTCGTTTTGGGCTGCTACAGTTTAGAGTCATCGAGAGAAAATATATGGAATAGGGAGATGGAAGTTCTTGACAGCCGGTTTTAAGCAGGCCGCCATCCATTATGGATTATCAAATCCTCAATTTTTTTTATTACAGCTTGATTCCAAACCGTATTTTTGGTACACGTATGGAATTTTCAGCATGTGATATCGGTAGCCCAAATTTTACAGGCCGACCATAGATATTAGGTGTTGGTCGGCGGGGGATTGAACCTCGGACCATGTGCATGGTCGGCGAGAGTCCTAACCACTGTGCCACCGACGCACATTTGCAAATTAACTCGCAATTTACACATTTCGAGGTGATTAATTCACTATACTTTCGTTTGGAAATGGTGATTCTTCAGATCACAAGATGTGGTACCATAAACAGTAATCAATAAAGCAAGTGTAAAAGTATAGAACTATATCCTAGTGATTGATTGTGATGAGTACACGTATGCCACTCACGTCAGCCGCTAGTGGTTGCAAGTCAGATCGGACGACAGTTTCGATCGATTGGGGCTGAACTGTGTGCCTGCGAATCAATCTGCAAATAGTAAACTAATTTGGATCTTTCTGCTTCGTCAAACCAGGTACACTACAGATGATCTCCGCTCAAAAAACTAGCGAAACGGCCACCTAGTGTTTAGATCACTTCGATGTGGCAAGGAAACACTACTGGTTCATATGAGTGGTATTCAGCTACTCATCTAGGACATCCTTTTATTAAGTTTCAATAAAGACAATGTTATACTCATATCTTAAAATGACCAGAATATCTGAATCTTTCAGTTTATAACCCATGAATAATCAATCTGCGTAATCTTCTCTTCATAGTCAATAAATTTCATTTGTGGAAGAGCAGAGCAGAACAGTTCAACATTATTTTGGTTTTAATCCTCTTTCGCTACTTGAAAGTAGTTCAATACACATTATGCAAAATTCGTTTTCACTATTGAATTTCAAGCCCATGAAAGTCAGATAACAAAAATCGAGTATATTAGGGAAAGAATGATTATTGTTTCAGGATAACCTAACCTCAAAGGAGAACACCACTAGGACATTAATATCTGCATGGTTTTTTATCCCTGTACTTTCACAGTGGAACAAAGGGCTTCAAGCTAGAGGCTTGAAGTTTCGGTAGCAGTGGTGTCCAACATTCCATCTTTACCAGTCATATTACTGGTTGGGCGAGGTGAGGG